ATATATCAGTTTATAAGATGTAAGATATCTTGGTTATTTGTTGGGTTGATGATTCATTAAGGTATACCCTACATATCCTTAAATTCACTTCCCTGTTTTTAAACATTTTTTTTCTATTGTGCATGTTTTTTTCACAATTTTTTATCAGATTTTTAATATTTATACATGTGTATTGACAGTTTGATCAGATTTTTAATATTTATACATGTGTATTGACAGTTTCTGTCTTTTTATCAGATTTTTAATATTATACATGTGTATTGACAGTTTCTGTTTTAATATTATACATGTGTATTGACAGTCTGTTTTTTTATCAGATTTTTTATATTATACATGTGTATTGACAGTTTCTGTTTTAATATTATACATGTGTATTGACAGTTTCTGTTTTAATATTATACATGTGTATTGACAGTTTCTGTTTTAATATTTTTACTATACAAATCCTTGATATGTGTATTGACAGGTTCTGTTGACTACATAATTATAATATTTATATTGGCCTTTGAAGGAAAATGTTGTTGTTTAGAATAAATTTGAAGCCAGGCTTATGGTTGTTAAATCTTCTTTTTTGAAAACAGTCAGTGCCCTGATTTTTAGATGTAAAAAATACTGTGTTGAAGGGGGGACTTTAAATAAGGCTTTAAAAATATTGTAATTTAAGGAGGGATCTAAATGTGGGGAGGCTTTAAGTATATTGAGGGGGAGGGGTCCTAAGTGTGTTGCGGCTTTAGTATGTTGTTTTTTGAGGGGATCCTAAATTTGTTGATGCTTTAAGTATGAATTTTTAGAGGAGGGATCTAAAATATAGTGAGACTTAATAGTGAGACTTTTAAGTATGTTGTTACTAACTCCAATGTTTATTATATTTAATGTTATGCACGCAAATATTTTGCAAACTTCTGTAATAGACCCCAGATGGAATATAGTAAACATTTTGCAGATTCCTGTTGGAAAAGCAAACATAAGAGCTAGATAAAAAGGTAAATTCCATTTGCAGGTGTTGTTGTATCAGTGGTGTATAATCATATCAAGGGATAGTTTTGTATATCTTATACACTTTAATTAAATCTATAATTCCTGTCACACGACCACACTCAAAACATTATTGCATAATAAAACTATACATATTTTCAAATTTTCAAATTTAAATTGAATTCAAATGATTTCAACATAATTAATTACAAAAATTTTCTTTATTATTTTCAAACTTTCTACTGTAATTTGAGTTATTGTAATTTTCTATCATTAAAAACACTTTAAGGAGAGTAATTGAATTCAAAAGTTTGGCATTTCACCAACAGGTTTAACAAACATACATAAAAGATATAATGGTGTGTACCTAAAGGAGTAGATGTTTCTGTATACATACAGTAATTAATTCTCTCTTCATTATAGAATTCACACCATAGGAGTGATGATGTTATAAATCTTGTTTGGTTCACTGATATAGAGTTCCCATTGTAGGTGTATGATTGGTCTATATGATTCCAGGCTCTAACAATTATTGAGTTATTAGTTAAGTAAATGGCTTTTATAGTACCAGTACATTTATATGTCAGGAATTCATAGGAATGAGATTTACCAAGAAGGATAAAAGTAGGAGATGGTTAATTAAGTAAATAACACTACTTATCCACAAATTTCTATTTAGTTTTTATCTTTAAGGTGGTACCAAACATTAATTTGGCTCGTTTAATTTTCATAAAATTTTTAAAAAATATTTATTTTGACCCTTTGACAGAATTATATAAAAATTTCAAAAAACTTGAACCACACACTTTATCGGAAAAATTTCATTGGATATATAGCAGTTTGACAAACACAAATTTTGATCATTGAGAAGCTTAATATTTCCTTAACAATAGAACGTGATTAAAACGTTCAGCTGATTTTTACAGAGTTATCTCCCTGTAGTGTTATATACCACCTTAAACTGATTTTGTAAACTTAAAAACAGATATTCTTAGAATAACAGCAAAAATTGTATAAAAATTTTAATGGGGTATTTTGGAACTCTAAATACAGGCTAACTTCGATTTTAATCATTTCACTTTTACCATTCTAAAGATATTTAAGTCTTAAGGGAAAAGTACAGAATTTGTGCTTTTTGGATTATAAATAGATATTGGTTGATTGAGTTTTTCGTTCACTAAAAGCACATTGTTTAAACAGATCATAACTTTGTGTTTCTGAATACTTCTAAAGTGGAAAACATTTATCTTAATATTATGATCAACCAATGTTCCCATCATATGTTATATAAAATAAATGTGTCATCAGCCTCTGTCCCATCATATGTCATATAAAATAAATGTGTCATCAGCCACTGTCTCATCATATGTCATATCAAATAAATGTGGCATCAGACAAGTTCCCCATCATATGTCATGTAAAATAAATGTGTCATCAGCCACTTTCCCCATCACATGTCATATACAATAAATGTGTCATCAGCCACTGTCCCATCATATGTCATATACAATAAATGTGTCATCAGCCACTGTCCCATCATATGTCATATAAAATAAATGTGTCATCAGCCACTGTCTCTTCATATGTCATATAGAATAAATGTGGCATCAGACACTTTCCCCATCATATGCCATGTAAAATAAATGTGTCATCAGTCACTTTCCCCATCATATGTCATATACAATAAATGTGTCATCTCATACAACAAATAAGAGTTCCTGTCAGTCATTTCAGTGCCATGGCTGAACACATGTTTGTTCTTGTCAGTCATTTCAGAGCCATGACTAAACACATGTTCGTTCTTGTCATTTATTTTAGTGTCATGGCTCAACACATCCTTGAATATATATCACTATAGCCCAGTAATCAGTGGTGTCTATGTCGGAGTCAATACCATTACTGTTGGACTGCAGGTCCTTAAATACATCACTATAGCAAGGTAATCAGTGGTGTCTATGTCAGAGTCAATACCATTACTGTTGGACTGCAGGTCCTTGAATATATCACTATAGCCCAGTAATCAGTGGTGTCTATGTCAGAGTCAATACCATTACTGTTGGACTACAGGTCCTTGAATATATCACTATAGCCCAGTAATCAGTGGTGTCTATGTCAGAGTCAATACCATTTCTGTTGGACTGCAGGTCCTTAAATACATCACTATAGCCCAGTATATAATCAGGGTTGTCTATGTCAGAATCAATACCATTACTGTTGGACTGCAGGTCCTTGAATATATATCACTATAGCCCAGTAATCAGTGGTGTCTATGTCAGAGTCAATACCATTACTGTTGGACTGCAGGTCCTTGAATATATCACTATAGCCCAGTTATCAGGGTTGTCTATGTCAGAGTCAATGCCATTACTGTTGGACTGCAGGTCCTTGAATATATCACTATTATCCAAGTGAAAACACTCTGGGTCCTAGTATGAGATTACCCTGACGTCTGACAGCCTTTTTTAGGACTAGCTGGGGCCATCATAAGTCAGTTAAATCTACGAATATCAGCGTCTATACCCTTATTGGTGTTTTAAAGTATCTTCTTATCATATAGATACTGAGAATGTTTGTATAACTATATAAATGAACCAGTCTTATTATATAAATGAACAGTCTTATTATATAAATGAACCAGTCTTATTATATAAATGAACCAGTCTTATTATATAAATGAACAAGTCTTATTATATAAATGAACAAGTCTTATTAGATAAATGCTAAAAATGTATGTATAACATTATAAATGAATCAGTAACTAAATACATATAGATGGTTCCAAAACATTAATTCATTTCACTTTTTCTGCCATATTTTCAGTATTAAAAAAAAACAGAAATCTTCAAATCTTAATTTCACCCATGAAATCTAATCTGACATATAACCTTGAACAGAAGATATTAAATACTACATATTGGAAAGACTTTATTTTACAGTTACCAAGGTGATGTTTTTCCTTAAATGGAATTTGACCCTCCATCTTGCCGTCAGGTGAAGTGATATTAAATGTTAAGAAGTTTGATTGAATTCAAAGGAATTATATTTATGGTGTTTACAATCAAATCCTTGGTTAAACAATAATGGATGTCTCAAAATTAAGTAAAGTGGATTTTTTAGGATACTGGTATACTTCAATAACACAAAACTTAAAGACATCGTTATAGTATTTAGATATTTTATTAGCATGATTAGTGTTTGAAAGTTAGTATTTTTTTTATCATTGGATAATTAAGGAAATGCATAAAAACTGTGGACCTTGCATTGCAAATAATAAGTTTCTTTACGGAAAAAAAATCAAATACAATTCTTCAATTATTATGCTGCATTTTTAGCTCACTGTGCTCAAAAATACCATTGGAAGTGCTTGACATCTTTTTGCATAGATCTATCATCTATGACAACGGTCATCTGTAGACTACTTTGAATGTGTGCACTTTCCAGTAAATTTTCCTATGTCACAATGCTTATGTTATTAGGTCACATTAAGAACCTGTTGTTCCACCCTGAGATTTAAAGAAAAAATTTATAACTATTTCTGAAATGCCTGCAAATATTGAGCTAGTTTTGGAAAGTTAAGTGTATCATTTATGACATCCAAATTCAGAATGGGTCTTGTGGTCTACTAACTTTTTGCAGATTGAACACACTTTGGCTAGAAAATTTCTTAAAAATTGAATGAATCTGTAGATTCCATCAAATATTCATTGATAACTTAGGCTACATGTTCAGGCTGACAAATCACACATCCTAGTATCTAAACATTCCAGCCTTTGAACTTCACATTGGTGTTCATGTTTTTTTATTTACAGATTTACAATACCTTGACCTGTAACAATAAATATGTATTGTTTATTTGATTTTACCCATCATCCTGTGACATGTATCAAAATTTATATATTTTGAGTTTCAGGATTTGACCCTTATATCATGTATATTCCTAGTTTTAACTTATATCTAACTTAATGAATTTATATTAATCCACCATTTTGAGCAGTGATCTGTATCCACACATTTCTATTTTTCAGGATTTAATCCCAGCATTCCTGCCTTTGCCCGATATTCTGTCATTACCAACACAGATGGGGATATTAATGAGTTTAATTTACATATTGTCAATACTCAGTTGTCAGATGATGGAACCTTTGAATGCCAGGTTTTACCAAATGATGACAATCCTCCACTCAGAGCTAGTGCTACCCTGACAATACTAGGTACATGTAATTATTGCTAAACATAGGTATAGAGCTTCAGTATCTTCCACTCAGAGCTGTAAGTAGCCACCCTGACAATACTAGGTAGTTATATGGTTAAACATAGGTATAGAGCTTCAGTATCTTCCACTCAGAGCTTTAAGTAGCCACCCTGACAATACTAGGTAGTTACTGTGGATTCATTATTATTCATTGGATACCAATTTTCTTGGGTTTCTTGGAACAGGTGAACCACGAATTCAAATGTTCAATGAATTACAAATTTTCTATAGGCTTTGTATGTAGAGATTGGCAAAACCACGAATTCAAATACCCACGAAAATGCAAGTTTTCCTCAATCCACGAAAATTGATACCCACGAAAATATATGAATCCACAGTATATGGTTAAACATAGGTACAGAGATTCAGTATGTACCACTCAAAGCTGCAGCTAACGTGACAATATTAGGAAATTATATGACTAACCATAGGTAAAGAGTTTGCATATCTTCCACTCAGAGCTGTAGCTAGCCTGACAATACAGGTAATTATATTGTTGAACAAAGGTAGAGAGCTTCAGTATCTTCCACTCAGAGCTAGGGCTACCCTAACAATACTAGGTAATTATATTGTTAAACAAAGGTACAGAGCTTCAGTATCTTCCACTCAGAGCTAGAGCTACCCTAACAATACTAGGTAATTATATGACTAAACATAATTACAGAGCTTTGGCATCTTCCACTCAGAGCTAGATCTACCCTGACAATACTAGATAGTAACATTGCTAAAATGAGGTATAGAGCTTCAGTATCTCCCACTCAGAGCTGTAGCCACCCTGACAATACTACGTAATTATTATGGATATTGCTAAACATAAGTACAGGGCTTCTGTATCCTCCATTCAGAGCTTTAGCTACCCTGACAATACTAGGTAATTATATGGATATGGCTAAACATAAGTACTGGGCTTCTGTATTCTCTACTCAGAGCTTGAGCTACACTGACAATACTAGATAGTTATATTGCTAAAATGAGGTACAGAGCTTCAGTATCCCCCATTCAGAGCTGTACCTACCCTGACAATACTAGGTAATTATATGGCTCAACCAAGGTACAGAGCTTCAGGATCCTCCACTCAGAGGTTGAACTATTTTGACAATTTTAGGTAATTATATGGCTAAACACATGAACAGAGCTTAAGTATCTTCAATTCAGAGCTTGAGCTACCCTGACAATACTAGGTATTAATATGGTTAAACTAAGGTACAGGGCCTAAGTATCTTCCTCTCAGAGCTGTTGCATTAGCTACCCTGACCATACTAGTTAATTATATGGTCAAAGATAGGTCCAGAGCTTCAGTATCCTTCACTCAGAACTGTTGCATTAGCTACCCTGACAATACTAGTTAAGTATATGTCCAAGCATAGATACTGATGGTATTAGACATTTAAATGGCTCAGCATAGGTCCAGAGCTACAGTATCCTCCACTCAGAGTTGGAAGAATACAAGGTGACTAGTAAGTCTTTTATTATTAAAACAATGCACTACACTGCAGAGCTTTTGGATATCTGAAAAAGAATAGTAAAAATAGTATAGTTGCAATCCAGATTTTCTATTTTACTCCATATTTAATTGATAATAATGATTTCAGTTCCACCAGACATTGTCGAGATCGATGGTTACAGTAATGGTACAAAAGTGGATGTGAATGAATCCACTCCGTTACTTCAGTTAACTTGCCACGCTAAGAATGCCAGACCTGGTGCCGGGATAGAATGGTATAAAAATGGCCGACCTGTTACCACTAATATTGTTAATACTACTGAACCTATACCTGGTGATAAAAGGGAGAATACTAAAAGTGTTATATCCATACGAGGAGATCTCAGGAACGAGCAACAGGGAGCAGTATACACATGTCGAGCTACACATGAAGCTATTACAATTACAACATTACAGACTATGGTTACACTTAATATTCTTTGTAAGTTTGATTGTTAATGTAGTCATAACTCTAACTCAAAGTAAACAAAAGAAAATTGTAAAAGTTCAGATTATAACAATGGACATGTTATAGATGTAAGGGAAAAAGTAACTTTATATTTATATAATTAAACATTGTGTTTATTGTTGTTCGTGAAACAGGAACATACATAAAGAAAATTTATACTCTGAGGAATTTTTTAATGTTCATTTTTCATATGGCTTTGGTAGCAAATTAAATGTGGAACCTATGAAAAAATTATTTTTGGGGTATTTTTTTTCTACAATAATTGAATTGGCACACATTTGTTAGTATTTTAAATTTACCATTATACCATTACTTATGGCATCAAAATTCCTTAATGATATATATCACATTCTATGCCATGTTTTGTAAATGTACAAATATATAGAGCTAGTAGTAAGCAGCTCATACCAGGGGCAGATAATCCTTAATCAAGTGCCTTGTGTGTGATCTACTAATAACCCTATATCCAGACACCATACTCTAATGGAAAAGAAAGTTTTATGTGATAATGTGTTAATTAATGAATCAAAACCTTTCACATGTGACATCCAATAGCATGATTACTTTTGAAACAATTTTACTTTGCAGATCCACCAGCCATCCCTATTATAACAGGGTACCAGTCAAAAAGTCCTGTAAGAGCCAAGGATACAGTTCGTATGATATGTGAGTCTGTAGGAGGGAACCCTGCTCCTCAAGTTGTTTGGTTCAAGAATGATAAGAAGCTAGATTATTCCTTTAGTATTGGTCATGGTAAATCTACAAATGAGTTGACATTTACTGCTGATCCGTTAGACAATGATGCTATTTATAGATGTGAATCATCCAATCAGGCAACACAGATACCTCTGACAACACAAGTCACTCTTGTTGTCCATTGTAAGTAATATTTGTATGAAGATCAGGATTATTTGCCTTATTTTCTTCTCATTTAGTAACATCTATGGGACCATGACCAAGGGTCTAGAAATGGACATGGTTTGATCAGACATAATTTGAACTTTTCAAGGAATTTTAACCTGCAGAGTTTAGCTAAGCTTGCTTCAACTGGTCAGGCTTAGATTTAACTTCTTTAATGTATTTTAACCTGCACAGTTTACTTAAAGCTGGCTTCAACTGGTCAGGATTACATTTAACCTCTTCAATGTATTTTTAAACTGCACAGTTTACTTAAAGCTGGCTTCAACTGGTCAGGATTACATTTAACTTCTTCAATGTATTTTAACCTGCACAGTCTACTTTAAGCTGGCTTCAACTGGTCAGGATTACATTTAACTTCTTCAATGTATTTTAACCTGCACAGTCTACTTAAAGCTGGCTTCAACTGGTCAGGATTACATTTAACCTCTTCAATGTATTTTAACCTGCACAGTCTACTTAAAGCTGGCTTCAACTGGTCAGGATAATTACATTTAACCTCTTCAATGTATTTTAACCTGCACAGTCTACTTAAAGCTGGCTTCAACTGGTCAGGATTACATTTAACCTCTTCAATGTATTTTAACCTGCACAGTCTACTTAAAGCTGGCTTCAACTGGTCAGGATTACATTTAACTTCTTCAATGTATTTTAACCTGCACAGTCTACTTAAAGCTGGCTTCAACTGGTCAGGATTACATTTAACTTCTTCAATGTATTTTAACCTGTACAGTCTACTTAAAGCCCTCTTCAACTGGTCAGGATTACATTTAACCTCTTCAATGTATTTTAACCTGCACAGTCTACTTAAAGCTGGCTTCAACTGGTCAGGATAATTACATTTAACCTCTTCAATGTATTTTAACCTGCACAGTCTACTTAAAGCTGGCTTCAACTGGTCAGGATTACATTTAACCTCTTCAATTTATTTTAACCTGCACAGTCTACTTAAAGCTGGCTTCAACTGGTCAGGATTACATTTAACCTCTTCAATGTATTTTAACCTGCACAGTCTACTTAAAGCTGGCTTCAACTGGTCAGGATTACATTTAACCTCTTCAATGTATTTTAACCTGCACAGTCTACTTAAAGCTGGCTTCAACTGGTCAGGATTACATTTAACCTCTTCAATGTATTTTAACCTGCAGAGTTTATTTACTGGTAAGGATTACATTTAACCTCTTCAATGTATTTTAACCTGCAGAATTTACTTAAAGCTGGCTTCAACTGGTCAGGATTACACTTTACAATTTCAAGGTTTTAAAATTTCAGAGTTTATTACCTAAAGCTGGCTTCAACTAGTAAGAATAACAAAGACATTTGTGAACTTACATGCAAATTGTTATTTATTAATAACACTCAAGGAATTAATGTATGAATTTTTTCACCTTGGAACCATATCTTGACCTTTGATCATGAGGGTGTATCATTACACCAACATATTATGTATCACAGAGTAGTCTTCAAAGAAACACACTTGGTGATTATATTGAGAACCAATAGATTAACAAAATAAAATGTCTAATTAATATTTAGTATATTCCCAAAAGAGGCATATTTTTAAACCAGCTATTTTTACAACATGCAACCTTAAGAAATGTTATTTTGACATTTAAGGTATTGATATACAAATCAAACCATCATGTCAACTCTGGTGGATAGTTGTCTCATTGGCAATCATACCACATCTCAGGTGGATAGTTGTCTCATTGGCAATCATACCACATCTCAGGTGGATAGTTGTCTCCTTGGCAATCATACCACATCTCTGGTGGATAGTTGTCTCATTGGCAATCATACCACATCTCAGGTGGATAGTTGTCTCCTTGGCAATCATACCACATCTCTGGTGGATAGTTGTCTCCTTGGCAATCATACCACAACTCTGGTGGATAGTTGTCTCATTGGCAATCATACCACATCTCATGTGGATAGTTGTCTCCTTGGCTATCATACCACATCTCTGGTGGATAGTTGTCTCCTTGGCTGTCATACCACATCTCTGGTGGATAGTTGTCTCCTTGGCAATCATACCACATCTCCTGGTAGATAGTTGTCTCATTGGCAATCATACCACATCTCCTGGTAGATAGTTGTCTCATTGGCAATCATACCACATCTCCTGGTAGATAGTTGTCTCCTTGGCTATCATACCACATCTCTGGTGGATAGTTGTCTCCTTGGCTATCATACCACATCTCTGGTGAATAGTTGTCTCATTGGCAATCATACCACATCTCAGGTGGATAGTTGTCTCCTTGGCTATCATACCACATCTCTGGTGAATAGTTGTCTCCTTGGCTATCATACCACATCTCTGGTGGATAGTTGTCTCATTGGCAATCATACCACATCTCCTGGTAGATAGTTGTCTCATTGGCAATCATACCACATCTCCTGGTAGATAGTTGTCTCATTGGCAATCATACCACATCTCCTGGTAGATAGTTGTCTTATTGGCAATCATACCACATCTCTGGTGGATAGTTGTCTCCTTGGCTATCATACCACATCTCTGGTGGATAGTTGTCTCCTTGGCTATCATACCACATCTCTGGTGGATAGTTGTCTCCTTGGCTATCATACCACATCTCTGGTGGATAGTTATCTCCTTGGCTATCATACCACATCTCTGGTGGATAGTTATCTCCTTGGCTATCATACCACATCTCTGGTGGATAGTTGTCTCCTTGGCTATCATACCACACATCTCCTCCTTTATTTAGCACTTTCTTAAAGATGTTGGGTTTTTTTAACTTACAAATACATGGAAACAGTGTCTTTTTAACCCAACTGTCAAGCCTTGAGTTGAAAAAGTGTCCCAGACCCAACGGTAAAACATTGAGTGGACCTTACTGTTGAGTGGAAACAATGACCTACTGGACAAATTTCCTAAGATTTGAGTTGAAACCCTGTCCTATCTGGCCCCAGTTGTAAAGCCTTCAGTGGAAACATTGTCCAACTGGACCAATCTGCCAAACCTTCAATTGAAACAGTGTCCTAACCTGGCCACAATTGTAAAGCCTTTAGTGGAAACAGTGTCCAACTGGACCACTCTGCCAAGCCTTCAATTGAAACAGTGTCCTATCTGACCCCACTGTCAAGGCTTGAGAGATGACTGAAATCAATACTTTTTATAAGCCTGTTGGGTCGTATTATGGTATACCTCTTTCTGTCCATCCGTCTGTCATCAACATGTCAGGCATTAACTCAAAAACACTTTCCCCAATTTCATGAAACTTTGGTGAATTGTTTATATCTATTGACGTAGCCTCCCTTTCGATTTTCATAAATTTTAGATTTTAGGTTTCGGAGTTATGGGATTTTATTCATAAAAAAATGTGGGATTTTCCAGTTTTCTGACTAATTTAAAAAATGCTTTTAGCAATTTTCATGAAACTTTGGTGAATTGTTTATATGTATTGACATAAGTTCCCTTTCAATTTTTTAAAATTTCTGATTTATTTTGAATATATAACCCATTTAATTTTTTTATTTCAGTTCCTCCAAAGTCAGTGACCATCACAGGTCAGAAGTTAGGGAAGGCAGGAGAGCAGATTCAGCTCCAATGTACATCCTCGAATACTAACCCTCCAACTAATCTAGCATGGCTGTCTAAAGGACTGACTGTGGCTGGGGCTAATGAACAGGTTGAAGCTTCTGACCAGGGAGGATACATAACTACATCAACCTTAACTGTTACCCTAACAAACCAGGAGCCTACTGTGTTATTTATGTGCCAGGCAGCTAACTACAGTACTGTGGTCAGCACCATAGAACTAAGCGTTTTGTGTAAGTGTAATTTATATCGAGTCAACACTGACCACTACCAAATCATTTTTCGTCTATTTGTGATAGAAAAAGGAGTAATATACATTTATCATTGACTATTACATTAAACCAAGTGTCAAGCTAGTATAGAATAACCATTGACTGTTACATTAAACCAAGTGTCAAGCTAGTATAGAATAACCATTGACTGTTACATTAAACCAAGTGTCAAGCTAGTATAGAATAACCATTGACTGTTACATTAAACCAAGTGTCAAGCTAGTATAGAATAACCATTGACTGTTACATTTAACCAAGGGTCAAGCTGTTATAGAATAACCATTGACTATTACATTAATCCAAGTGTCAAGCTAGTATGAATAACCATTGACTGTTACATTTAACCAAGTGTCAAGCTGCTATAGAATAACCATTGACTATTACATTAATCCAAGTGTCAAGCTAGTATAAAATAACCATTGACTATTACATTAAACCAAGTGTCAAGCTAGTATAAAATAACCATTGACTATTACATTAAACCAAGTGTCAAGCTAGTATAGAATAACCATTGACTATTACATTAAACCAAGTGTCAAGCTAGTATAGAATAACCATTGACTGTTACATTAAACCAAGTGTCAAGCTAGCATAGAATAACCATTGACTGTTACATTAAACCAATTGTCAAGCTAGTATAAAATAACCATTGACTGTTACATTAAACCAAGTGTCAAGCTAGTATAGAATAACCATTGACTGTTACATTTAACCAAGTGTCAAGCTGTTATAGAATAACCATTGACTATAACATTAATCCAAGTGTCAAGCTAGTATAAAATAACCATTGACTATTGCATTAAACCAAGTGTCAAGCTAGTATAGAATAACCATTGACTGTTACATTTAACCTAATGTCGAGCTAGTATAGAATAACCATTGACTGTTGCATTAAACCAATTGTCAAGCTGATATAGAATAACCATTGACTCTGACATAAAACCAAGTGTCAAGCTAGTATAGAATAACCATTGACTGTTACATTAAACCAAGTGTCAAGCTAGCATAGAATAACCATTGACTTTTACATAAAACCTAGTGTCAAGCTAGTATAGAATAACCATTGACTTTTTCATTTAACCAAGTGTCAAGCTGTTATAGAATAACCATTGACTATTACATTAATCCAAGTGTCAAGCTAGTATGAATAACCATTGACTGTTACATTTAACCAAGTGTCAAGCTGCTATAGAATAACCATTGACTATTACATTAATCCAAGTGTCAAGCTAGTATAAAATAACCATTGACTATTACATTAAACCAAGTGTCAAGCTAGTATAGAATAACCATTGACTATTACATTAAACCAAGTGTCAAGCTAGTATAGAATAACCATTGACTATTACATTAAACCAATTGTCAAGCTAGTATAAAATAACCATTGACTGTTACATTAAACCAAGTGTCAAGCTAGTATAGAATAACCATTGACTGTTACATTTAACCAAGTGTCAAGCTGCTATAGAATAACCATTGACTATTACATTAATCCAAGTGTCAAGCTAGTATAAAATAACCATTGACTATTACATTAAACCAAGTGTCAAGCTAGTATAGAATAACCATTGACTGTTACATTTAACCTAATGTCAAGCTAGTATAGAATAACCATTGACTGTTGCATTAAACCAATTGTCAAGCTGATATAGAATAACCATTGACTCTGACATAAAACCAAGTGTCAAGCTAGTTTAGAATAACCATTGACTGTTACATTAAACCAAGTGTCAAGCTAGCATAGAATAACCATTGACTTTTACATTAAACCTAGTGTCAAGCTAGTATAGAATAACCATTGACTGTTACATTAAACCAATTGTCAAGCTGATATAGAATAACCATTGACTCTGACATTAAACAAAGTGTCATACTGCTATATAATAACTATTGACTGTTACATTAAACCAAGTGTCATACTGCTATAAAATAACTATTGACTTACCTTAAACCAAGTGTCAAGCTGTTATAGAATAACCATTGACTGTTACTTTAAACCTAATGTCAAGCTGCTATAAAGTAACCATTGACTGTTACAATAAACGAAGTGTCAAGCTGTTATAGAATAACCATTGACTGTTACATTAAACCCACTATTAAGCTATAGTATCACCATTGACTATTACTATAATAAATTAGTAAATAACTTTGACCATTAAGGACAAATTAGATTCAAAGGTATAGCATTGTAAAATTGATTTATATTGTAGACCCCCCAGGAAGACCTGCTATAGAGGGTTATAACCCCAATGATTATGTTGCAGCAGGCTCTGCCAAAAGTCTGAAGTGTGTTTCCAGTGGTGGAAATCCAACTGCCACTCTAAAGTGGTTCAAAGGTATATAAAATAAATCAACCGGCCACCCTGAAGTGGTTCAAAGATATGTAAAATAAAATCCACCTGCCACCCTGAAGTGATTCAAAGATATGTAAAATAAAATCCACCTGCCACCCTGAAGTGGTTCAAAGATATGTAAAATAAAATCCACCTGCCACCCTGAAGTGGTTCAAAGGTATGTAAAATAAAATCCATCTGCCACCCTGAAGTGATTCAAAGGTATGTAAAATAAAATCCACCTGCCACCCTGAAGTGATTCAAAGGTCTATAAATAAAAAACAACTATGTCTCTGATCTATTATTATCATTATTAAAGTATTAAATAAAATCCAACTGCCATAATGAAATCATTTTTATTTAAAATAAATTTAAAGAGAATGGTTCTGGTTTAAAGATATGTTTGCTCTCCTTTTCAGGTAGTGAGGAATTGACCTCTGAACCTCAGGTGAATGTAGGCAATGTGGTGACATCAGATTTGATATATGTTCCAAAACCTTCAGATAACCAAGCAGAAATTAAATGTACAGCATCAAATGAAGCTACATCTGTTCCTTTGGAAAGAAAAGTGACTGTTACTGTATATTGTAAGTCATTGACTCATTTTTAATCAGATTTACAAAGAAAAATATCGGTTATTAATTTGGTGATATACGGCGGGCAGGCGGCTGCCAAAGTATCTGTTCGATAACTTGAAAACGGTTTGACACAAAATCTTTTCAAATGTATATATGTTGTTTCCTGTGACTAAATGATGGTCAAGTTTGATTTTCACATTTTCATTGTTGAGTTGTAGACCTTTAAGTAGTGAAAAGTGATACTTAGAGCGTTGTCCGTGCAACAACTTGAAAACGCTTTTACGAAATCTTTTCAAATTTAGATATGTTGTTTTCTGTAACTAAATGAAGGTCAAGTTCAATTTTCATGATTTTAGCTTATATCGTTGTTGAGTTGTGACCTTTAAGTAGCAAAAAGTGATACTTAGATTGATTTTGGCTTTTCCATTTCTGAACCCTATAAAAATTCATTTATTTTTTTACTTGATCGTGTTTGGGGGTCCAGATTTGCAAATATCATTTTCATGCAGGAAAATCCAGTTTGCTGTCAATCTGACAGCCTCTTGTATAATTTATATTAAAACAGACATTCTTTGTACTTTGGTCTCTGTAGGATCATTATCTTAATGACAATCGTCCTACATCTCCTTATTTTAATACAGTCAAACCTGCCTTCACGGTCATTTCAGCAGTCACCTGCCTCTAATAGTCACTTTCAGACCCTCCAAATTGTTTTCTCAATATAATTTAACTTACTTCAGCGGTCACCTGTCTAATGCGGTCAAGGGTCACCTAATTTTCACACGAAATCCTCATTTCAACTTTTAACAAAGGTCATTAAAATGATGTTCATATTTTTAACAACCAAAATATAGTTATGACGAAAAATATATGTTTTCAGTATTCAGGTAAAAATGACAGTCAGAGCCCATTTATAACTGAGGTTGCACAATAGGAGGTGAATTTTGTGTATTTTTAGTGTTCCACTCCTTTCAGTTTCCATTGAAAACCGTATCATCGACTTATTTCTCCCCAAATATTGACTATTTCGAATGTTAACTTCAAATTTAGAGCGCTGGAATCTGCCATTTTTAATTTGTCTGCTTGCATGAACGATAACTCTACCGCTTGAAAACACTAAAACAATTTGCTTTTATCCCGACCACATGTGATGTGAATTTTTTTTCGGAACCTCATTTAAAAGGTCACCTCACTTGAGTGGTCACTTTTGATACTTCCCATTTGTGACTGCTTAATACAGGTTTGACTGTATTTATAAATGTATCAGTGAAACAAGAAATTAGTCATAAGAAATAAGAGATATAATTACTCTCCTGAAAAAGTGTATACCCCGGTACATGTAACTAAATTTATAATAAATTACAATTTTGTCAAGAGAGTTTATACTCATTGTTGTTCAGTGGTTGTCGTTTGTTGGTGTGGTTCATAAGTGTTTCTCGTTTCTCGTTTTTTATATAGATCAGACCGTTGGTTTTCCTGTTTGAATTGTTTTACACTAGTCATTTTGGGGCCCTTTATAGCTTGCTGTTCGGTGTGAGCCAAGGCTCCTTGTTTAAGGCTGTACTTTGACCTATAATTGTTAACTTTTTACACATTGTGACTTGGATGGAGAGTTGTCTCATTGGCACCCATACCACATCTTATTTATATATTTATATACTTTTGTTCACATTCGTAAATTTTGTCTATTGATCCTTAAGAATGCTACATCATTCAGCTCCAAGTCCGATTCACCTTTCTCATTGTCCTGTAAAAATTCTGTAGACAATTTTCCTTTAAAAAAAAACATTGAATATAATTATTTTGAAACCTAACTCTTATAAAATGATTACATTAAAGTATATTGTTATTGCAGTTTCCCCTTGTGACGGAGTACAATACTGTATAAATGTTAATTGTTATTGCAGTTCCACCTATGACAGAGTAAAATACTGTATAAATGTTAATTGTTATTGCAGTTCCACCTATGACAGAGTAGAATACTGTATAAATGTTAATTGTTATTGCAGTTCCACCCATGTCAGTTAATATCACGTTTTCACCACCTGAACCAAAATCTGGCCAAGTTTTACGCCTGACATGTATCTCTGGACCAAGTAACCCTGCAGCTTCCATTATATGGGTAAAGAGTGGTACAAGGATGAGAGGTACTAACCAGGGGAATACTCCTTCAGAACATGGTGGATATACAACAACTAATATTCTAGAGATAGCTAGTCCTTCATATGATGATCATGGAGCTGCCTTTTTCTGTGAAGCTAAAAATCTGGTTCTGGACAAAGGATGGTCAGATGCTGTCACACTCAATGTTAAATGTAAGTTCACAAAAATCTGGTTCTTGACAAAGGATGGTCAGATGCAGTCACACTCAATATTTAATGTAAGTTCACAAAAATCTGGTTCTTGATAAAGTATGGTCAGATGCTGTTACACTCAATGTTAACTGTAAGTTCATAAAAATCTGGTTCTTGATTACACTTAATGTTAAATGTATGTTCATAAAAATCTGGTTCTTGATAAAGTATGGTCAGATGCTGTCACACTCAATGTTAACTGTAAGTTCACAAAAATCTGGTTCTGGGCAAAGGATGGCCATATGCTGTCACCCTCAGTGATAAATGTAAGTTCATAAAAATCTGGTTCTGGACAAAGGATGGTCAGATGCTTTTACACACAGTGTTAAATGTTAGTTCACAAAAAATCTGGTTCTTGACAAAGGATGGTCAGATGCAGTCAACCTCGGTCAGTGATTTTGTGATGGAACCGTTTCAAAAGTTGTAAAGATGATCTAAATAATATTTATATACAATGGTTCAATGCTTTAATTTCCTGTTTCTTAGGGTTACACCTAAAGAAAAAATATGGCAACCTTCTACATATTAAACAGCCAGCAAAAACCACAAAATTATCTTATCATGCAATTAAGTACTTAAACTTTTGTACATTGCTTTTCTGAATTCCACAATTGGCCAGTTCAATTTGAAATCCATTTGAATCAATGTAAATTTATAAAGATGACCTGTTGTTGACAAAAATACCCAATGGATGATTTTGTTCAGTGGTTTATGTTAGCTGTTATGCATGTAAAAGGCCTAGGTTACCATAGCTAAGATGCAAACCTACAAAAGATAGTGCATCATGTGCAATGATTTTCATGTAACAACTTCCCTGGTCTCAATCCAATAACTGTCAAGCCATCTGGTAATCATATATATCATAACCAGTACCCTGTCCAGGATTATTCCAAATGTTTTAACTTCTTACAGCAGTGTACAGGTGAAACTTGATATACATTTTCCGTTTTTACAGGAAAATAATGTTATATCGTCTTAGATTTTACGTTTAAAAAATTCCCAATTGGGATGAAAATTCCCAATATGATAGTCAAGGGACCCATTTGAAAACACCTGGAATCATCCCTGATTATAGTCTAGAAGTCAATGTCTGTGATTCTCACAGATTGTACTGAATACAGTCATTGATTATTATAGTCGAGAAGTCAATATCTGATTCACACAGATTGTACTGAATACAGTCATTGATTATTATAGTTTAGAGGTCAATGTCTGTGATTCACACAGATTGTACTGAATACATTCATTGATTATTATAGTTTAGAAGTCAAAGTCTGTGATTCACACAGATTGTACTGAATACAGTCATTGATTATTATAGTCTAGAAGTCAATGTCTTTGATTCACACAGATTGTACTGAATACAGTAATTGATTATTATAGTTTAGAGGTCAATGTCTGTGATTCCTGACTTTGCAAAAGCTTTTTATGAATTGGACATAAAGTTTACACAAAGGCTATACAAATATCACCATCAATCCTACTTTTGTATATATAAATGAATCTGATCCTGATCTATGATATGATAACTTTCAAATCTGTTATTCAAGATGGCTGTAACTGTAAATCATAATGATACATACAGTCTGTACCTTTCTTGCTGTTTACTTACAGTTAAAACTCATCAAGGATACCAGAGATAAGACTCACTAAAGACACTTGAATCAAAACAGTTAGAAGGTCAAATCAAATATAAAGCTGAAGAATATTTAAAACCTAAAATTCTTAGCGGAGGGGGCATTAAGTTTTACCCTTGTCCGTTCTTATGTACAAACTTCCCAAAGTTGGTTTCCGTTCTCTAACTTTAGTTTGCCTCAACCAAATGTTATGAAACTTATACAAAATGCTTATTACCACAAAACACAGATCAAGTATGAATTTTGGTGGTGTCACTTTAACCGTTCTAGAGTTATGCCCCTTTACAAATGGAAAAATTGCTGAATGTTTCGTTTCCGTTCTCTAACTTTAGTTTGCCTCAACCAAATGTTATGAAACTTATACACAATGCTTATTACCACAAAACACAGATCAAGTTTGAATTTTGGTGGTGTCACTTTAACCGTTCTAGAGTTATGCCCCTTTACAAATGGAAAAATTGCTGAATTTGTGGTTTCTGTTCTTTAACTTAAGTTAGCCTCAACCAAATGTAATGAAACTTATACACAATGCTTATTAACACAAAATACAGATCATGTTTGAATTTTGGTGGTGCCACCTTTTCTGTTCTAGAGTTATGTCCCTTTATAAATGGAAAAATTGCTGAATTTTTCGTTTCTGTTCTCTAACTTAAGTTTGCCTCAACCAAATGTTATGAAACTTATACATAATACTTATTACCACAAAACTCAGATCAAGTACAAATTTGGGTAGCATCACTTTTACCATTCTTCAGTTATGTCCCTTTATAAATTTATATGATATGCAAGCGGGGGCATCATCTGTGTCCCATAGACACATTCCCCATTTATTTTCTTTATAAATAAAGTCAATCAATATGCAGGGGTATAAAAACCTTAGTTTTTCAAAGTGCTGACTACGGGACTGGTGATAACTTTTTGTCTATAATATTTTGAAACTATCTCACAATCTTAGCAATATAATGATATTGTGCACCTCCCATTTCCGTTGTTTGGTTATTTTTTTTATCAAATCATGTACCAACTACAGTTCACATTTATATTCACTTCTCCAAGATCCATAATCAGAATTAGATGAAATTTTCTGAGAATCTTCACTAAATAATGCAATTGTGCATCTCCAACTTTGTTTTTCTCTCAATTATTTTAGTTTGTGAGCTGTGCTGACAATACCTCTAATTTTATACCCATGCTTTATATACATAGTTAAATCATTATTTCATACCTATTTTTTAATATTTACAGTTAAACCAGTATTTAATGCCTATGCTACCCATCACATAGAAATAGTAGAAGGACAGAGTGCAACCTTGAACATGACAGCCTTGGGAAATCCAATTGACATTACTTACAGTTTATACAAGGATGGTATTGAGGCTTCTTCCTCAGCTGTTGACATCAGTAATGGGATACTGGAACTGTCAAGTATTGATAGAAGTGACTCTGGTTCCTTCTCACTAAAGTCAAAAAACACTCAAGGGGCAACATATCATAACTTTACTATTAATGTTACATGTAAGTAAACAGCCACGACACTCAAGGGTCAATATATCATAACTTTACTATTAATGTTACATGTAAGTAAACAGCCATGACACTCAAGGGGCAACATATCATAACTTTACTATTAATGTTACATGTAAGTAAACAGCCATGACACACAAGGGGCAACATATCATAACTTTACTTTTAATGTTACATGTAAGTAAACACCCAAGACACTCAAGGGGCAACATATCATAACTTTACTATTAATGTTACATGTAAGTAAACAGCCATGACACACAAGGGGCAACATATAATAACTTTACTATAACTTTACTATTATTGTTACATGTAAGTAAACAGCCATGACACACAAGGGGCAACATATAATAACTTTACTATAACTTTACTATTAATGTTATATGTAAGTAAACAGCCATGACACTCAAGGGGCAACATATCATAAATTTACTATTAATGTTACATGTAAGTAAACAGACATGACACTCAAGGGGCAACATATCATAACTTTACTATTAATGTTACATGTAAGTAAACAGACATGACACACAAGGGGCAACATATCATAACTTTAGTATTAATGTTACATGTAAGTAAACAGACATGACACTCAAGGGGCAACATATCATAACTTTACTATTAATGTTACATGTAAGTAAACAGACATGACACTCAAGGAGCAACATATCATAACTTTACTATTAATGTTACATGTAAGTAAACAGACATGACACTCAAGGGGCAACATATCATAACTTTACTATTAATGTTACATGTAAGTAAACAGCCATGGTGCACAAGGGGCAACATATCATAACTTTACTATTAATGTTACATGTAAGTAAACAGACATGACATTGAAGGGGCAACATATCATAACTTTACTATTAATGTTACATGTAAGTAAACAGCCATGACACTCAAGGGGCAACATATCATAACTTTACTATTAATGTTACATGTAAGTAAACAGCCATGACGCACAAGAAAATAACTAATGACCTTAGGTACTGTTTGAACTCCTTGGCAACTAAATATCGTCTTTGCAAAGTAACATACAGAGAAGCAACTTCTTTGCCCTGGTCCCCAGCAGCATGAGCCCTTGACTATTATGTAATATTCATGTAAATAGCTCCATCTTGAGCATTAGATATTGATATAAATGAAAATTCAAAATGTCAAAATTCAAACAGAAGTTGTACTAAAATTATTAACATTTTAATCTGCAGATGCCTTCAATACAGACATTACCATAATAATAATTGGCAGCCATAATCATGAAAATACCAACAAACAAATGATATATAGCATATAAACAGATCAGTTCCAGATAAAAAGAGAATTGTAGACATGTATAGAAGATTAAATTTACTTATACTTTATATATTATATATAAATATATACAGGCTTTCTACCAAGGACACTGTCTATATGTAGTCAAAAGTTAAATCACAAAAATACTGAACTCCGAGGAAAATTCAAAACGGAAAGTCCCTAATCAAATGGCAAAATCAAAAGCACAAACATATCAAACGAATGGACAACAACTGTCATATTCCTGACTTGGTACAGGCATTTTCTTATGTAGAAAATGGTGGATTGAACCTGGTTTTATAGCGCTAAACCTCTCACTTGTATGACAGTCGAATCAAATTCCATTATATTGACAACGATGCGTGAATAAAACAAACAGACATAAAAGGTAAACATCATGCTTAAAGCAAGTTGTGGGATATATAACAATAGGACGACAACCCCACAACACAAATAGCCAAAAGATTTAGAGATCAACATAAATTTTGAACAATAGATAGATGTCTGTATCAGTGTTTATCTCCCTTCAAATAACTTGTGATAAGGTGTGATCTTGAACCTATAAGTTGTCATTTTATTTTCAGATCCTGGTCAATATTAATATTTACCTCCCTTTATTTGTTATAAGGTGTGATCTTGAACCTATAAGTTGTCATTTTATTTTCAGATCCTGGTCAATATTAATATTTACCTCCCTTTATTTGTTATAAGGTGTGATCTTGAACCTATAAGTTGTCATTTTATTTTCAGATCCTGGTCAATATTAATATTTACCTCCCTTTATTTGTTATAAGGTGTGATCTTGAACCTATAAGTTGTCATTTTATTTTCAGATCCTGGTCAATATTAATATTTACCTCCCTTTATTTGTTATAAGGTGTGATCTTGAACCTATAAGTTGTCATTTTGTTTTCAGATCCTGCCTCTATTAGCACTATTACAGAAGAAGTAAGTAAAGGTATTGGTGGAATAGCTTATTTTGAATGTGAAGCTGCTGCCAATCCATTGGTCCCTAACATGATCACATGGTCTAGACAAGGTTTTGACATGACTAAGACTAAGCAGACATATGACTCCTCTGGTAAAAGTTACCTGACAGTAACTGAGCTAGCCAAAGAGGATTCTGGGATGTTTACATGCACAGCAGACAACAGAATTGGTTCTCCATCAACCAAAGAGGCCAAACTTATTGTTGTTTGTAAGTTTACAGAGAAATAATCAGTACCAATGATTATCTAGAAAGAAATGATATACGATGAATATTCTTCTGACAACAACAAAATATTGTACTAAGAAATGCAATTATGTAAAAATAACTTTTTCCAGAGTATGGTGAGACAGCAAGGGATCAATGATAATGATAGCCATTCTCTCTATTTAAGTTGACCCTAAGATAGATGGGTCACCACAGAATGCTAAGGCTCAAGGATCTCACAATTGTTCTTTCTATTTCAGTTGATCCTAAGATAAATGGGTCACCACAGAATGCTAAGGCTCGAGGAATCTCACAATTATTCTTTCTATTTAAGTTGACCCTAAGATAGATTGGTCACCACAGAATGATAATTAGGCTCAAGGGATCTCACAATTATTCTTTCTATTTAAGTTGACCCTAAGATAGATTGGTCACCACAGAATGATAAGGCTCAAGGGATCTCACACTTATTCTTTCTATTTAAGTTGACCCTAAGATAGATTGGTCACCACAGAATGATAAGGCTCAAGGGATCTCACAATTATTCTTTCTATTTAAGTTGACCCTTAGATAGATGGGTCACCACAGAATGCTAAGGCTCAAGGGATCTCACAATTATTCTTTCTATTTAAGTTGACCCTAAGATAGATTGGTCACCACAGAATGATAATTAGGCTCAAGGGATCTCATAATTATTCTTTCTTTTTAAGTTGACCCTAAGATAGATTGGTCACCACAGAATGATAAGGCTCAAGGGATCTCACAATTATTCTTTCTATTTCAGTTGACCCTAAGATAAATAAGTCACCACAGTATGCTAAGGCTCAAGGGATCTCACAATTATTCTTCCTATTTCAGTTGACCGTAGATAAATGGGTCACCACAGAATGCTAAGGCTCAAGGAATCTCACAATTATTCTCTCTATTTAAGTTGACCCTAAGATGGATAGGTTGCCACAGAATGCTAAGGCTCAAGGGATCTCATAATTAATCCCTCTATTTCAGTTGACCCTAAGATAGATGGGTCACCACAGAATGCTAAGACTCAAGGGATCTCACAATTATTCTTTCTATTTCAGTTGATCCTAAGATAAATAAGTCACCACAGTATGCTAAGGCAGCAGGGGATCAAGGAGACACAATTGAATTGATGTGTAAAGCTGAGGGATCACCAGAAGTCCATTTCAAATGGAAAAAGGTCAGAAAACTGCTGATAACACAAAGGGGTCTTCGCCACTACAAAACCTAAGGGACAAGCATCACTGCAAACACAAAGGGGTCTTCACCACTACAAACACAAAGGGACAAGCATCACTGCAAACACAAAGGGGTCTTTACCACTACAAAACCAAAGGGACAAGCATCACTGCAAACACAAAGGGGTCTTCACCACTACAAAAACGTAGGGACAAGCATCACTTCAAACACAAAGGGATCTTCACCACTACAAAAACGAGGGGACAAGCATCACTTCAAACACAAAGGGGTCTTCACCACTACAAAAACGAGGGGACAAGCATCACTTCAAACACAAAGGGGTCTTCACCACTACAAAAACGAGGGGACAAGCATCACTTCAAACACAAAGGGGTCTTCACCACTACAAAAACAAAGGGAAAAGCATCACTACAAACAAAAAATTTGTAAGGGTTCCACGGAACCCACTGTCTTGCCTACTTTTGCTGTTAATCGCAGGCTCAACAAAAATGAGGAAAAAAATTAATAAAAATATTCCTCTCTATACTAAGTTTTGATTGTAAGTAGCTTCTGTCCAAGTTTGGTAAAAATCCAGGATAGTTTATGAATCTAATAAATGTTTTAAAAACTTAAACTGCAGACTGTATGTAATGTTAACTGGAAGAAAAACTAAGTCCATTTATAAGTAAAATACGAAAAAAATGGAACAAAATTTTAACAAAATTTCCTTCTAGATACTAGCTTTTAATCATAAACAAGCTTCTGTCCAAGTTTGGTACAAATCCAGGATAATTTAAGAAAGTTGTTAAAATTTTAAAAACTTTAACCACAGAGTGAATGTAATGTTAACTGGCAGAAAAACTAAGTCCATTTATAAGTCAAATACAGAAAAAATGGAATTTTTTTTTACAAAATTTACTTCTGGATACTATCTTATGATCATAAACAAGCTTCTTTCCAAGTTTGGTAGAAATCCAGGATAGTTAAAGAAAGTTATTAAAATTTGAAAAACTTTAACCACAGAGTGAATGTAATGTTTCCTGACAGAAAAACTAAGTCCATTTATAAGTAAAATACGGAAAAAAGGGATTTTTTTTTTTACAAAATTTACTTTTGAATATTATCTTATGATCATAAACAAGCTTCTGTCCAAGTTTGGTAAAATCCAGGATAGTTTAAGAAAGTTATTAAAATTTCAAAAACTTTAACCACAGAGTGAATATTTGTGGACACCGACGACGACGGAATGTAGGATCGCTATGTCTCGCTTTTTCGACAAAAGTCGAAGGCTCGACAAAAAGGAGTCATCACTACTGCAAACTCAAAATAGCAAGCATCAATGCAAATACAAAGGGGTCAGAACCACTACAAAAACGAAGGGACAAGCATCGTCTCAAACACAAAAGGCACAGCATTGTTGCAAACACATGGGGGGTCAGCATTGCTGCAAACAAAAGGGGATCAGCACCGCTACAAACACAAAGGGTTCAGTACGACTCCAAACACAAAGGGGTCAGTACGACTACAAACACAGAGGGGTCAGCACCACTACAAACACAGAGGGGTCAGCGCCAATACAAACACAGAGGGGTCAGCGCCAATACAAACACAGAGGGGTCAGCACCTTTGCCAACATATGTTTGTTCTGCCTAACAGAACTTCCCCTGGAAACTCTGTTATAAACAAAGCCATAGTATATGTTCCTGTTGGAACAAATAGTATCCACCCTTTATTCTGTAAGGAACAAATTCTGTACTATTTGTTTCAGTTGAAATAATATTACATATTATTATACTTCACTCTATCCCATGGCAAATACTCTATTACCCTTCACGGAGACAGTGTGCGCTTTAATAAATACGGATGATAGTTATGTACAAGACGACATAGTTTATTACTTTGAATTTGAAATTTAATCAACAGTAATAACAGAACATTCAGTATAATAAATTCAATAACACATATCTGAGAGGGTGATAGAGCAGATTGTTACCCCTCGACAATACATTGTCAACCTTGGCTTTGCCTCAGTTGACAATGTTTTAAATTCTCGGGGAAACAATCTGCTCTATCATCCTCCCAGCTATGTGCTATTTATTTAATATTTCTTCCATATGGAACTTCTATTTTGAAGGAACTTTTATTTCATGAAAACACTACAAACATGGAGAAGACTTGATAAGTCTGTTTGACTTGTGTCTTATCTAATTTGTGTTTATGCAAATAAAATATGTTAAAAGCAAACATACAGGAGTCAGCATAGCTGCAAACACTGTTTAAGACCTTGTATTTAAAATCATCTTAAGTATTACTTTGTTTATTTCAAATAAATTCTGAACATAATTTTAAGTTTATAAATAGAATAATAATATAAACTGAATCCTGATATGTTACAGGACAATAAAGAAATTTCTAATGGAGGCCAGTTTCAAGTTTACAGTAAATTTCTAGAAGGTAACCTCTATCAAGGAGAACTTAAGATAGTGAATGTTCAGAAAGATAACTATGGAAGTTACATATGTGAAGTGGCCAATAAAAATATGACAGTAACGGACATGTTTACAATAAATGTTGATGGAACCAGTATTCCTGATGCTCCATATGACTTAAAGTTCATCAACTCTACACACGACAGTATAACAGTCGCATGGAAACCAGGATTTAATGGAGGACTAACACAGACATTTATAGTCATAATACGTAAATCTAACATGAATACTAAGACAACTATAGAGCTTAAAGAGGAGGATGGTACTATCTATTCAATCAGAGGTAAGCAAAAGTTTATTTATATTCAATCAGAGGTAAGCAAAAGTTTATTTATATACAAACAGAGGTAAGCAAAAGTTTATTTATATACAATCAGAGGTAAGCAATCAAATGCTTATTTATATTCAATCAGAGGTAAGCAATCAAAAATTTATTTATATACAATCAGATGTAAGCAATCAAATGTTTATTTATATTCAATCAGAGGTAAGCAATCAAATGTTTATTTATATACAATCAGAGGTAAGCAATCAAATGTTTATTTATATACAATCAGAGGTAAGCAATCAAAAGTTTATTTATATACAATCAGAGGTAAGCAATCAAATGTTTATTTATATTCAATCAGAGATAAGCAATCAAAAATTTATTTATACTGAATCCAAGGTCAGCAAAGAAGAGCTTATTTATGAAATTATTCATGCAAGCCATAGATTTGTTGGAAATTTTGACATGTGCTGGGTCATTATATTGAAATCTTATCTCGAGCCTTAGCTGAGGTCAGCAAAGAAAAGTTAATGAATATTCAATCAAAGTTCAGCAAGGAAAAGTTTATTTGATATTCAATCTCTGTGGTCAGCAAAGAAAAGTTAATTTATGGTCAATCAAAGGTCAGCAAGGAAGAGTTTATCCAAAATTCAATCTGGGGTCAGTAAAAAAAGTAATTAATTTTCAATCAAAGATCAGCAAGGAAAAGTTTATTTGATAATCAATCTGTGGGCAGCAAGTAACTTTTTATTTATTTTAGAACAAGTCTTTCTAAACATGCTGGACTATTTTATTAATTAAGCACTAGTCTTTATAAACATGCTGGACTATTTTCAGGTTTAGAAAGAGCTACAGAATACACAATTGTAGTAAAGGCCAAGAATGATCATGGACCAGCATCATCTTCTCCTGTACCTATAAAAGCCAAGACTTTGTGTAAGTACTCGTCATAAAAGCAAGGTCAATTGTACAATCATACCAAAGACTACTTATGTTAAGGCTTTTCCCATGTTTTCTGCACCAATAAAAGTCAATAATTGTATAGATTCTCTGGACCATGATAGTTATTTCTTCCACACTAGAAACGATCCTACTGTACGTCATTACATGTTGTGCAAGTTTGTAGAAATATCAGAATGAATAAAAAAAAATTTCAATGTATGTGACTGGGCAAAATTATTGTTGATATCTTGCATTCAATCATGCATTTTAAGCAGCATTGGTGTGATTCTATGGTATTCTTGTTTATCATTTATAAATGTATTACTCATTGTTACTCTTTAAGTGTTTTAGTGACTGTAGAGTACTTCAAGTTGTTAGTTATTTTAGAATTTATAAGAGGTACCAAGGAATTACTTATCCTTAAATAGAGCAACATTTGATTTAAGAACAGTCCTCACAAAGGGAAAAATTTAATATACAAATCCTTGATTGAACATAATCAAAATTAAACAACATAGTTTGTAAAACAGGTTATTTCCATTTCAGTATCTGCACAGGAAGGAGATAATCAGCTAGCACAGTCAGACGATGATGACATGCCAGTGATAATTATACTGGTTGTCTGTATTGTTGGGATCTTTCTACTGGCTCTTAATATTGGACTGATACTGTTCTTTGTAAGGAAAAGGAAAAAGAGATTAGAAAGTAAGTATAGGGTACCAGTTTTGAATGTACTTGTTGTCTGTATTATTGGGGACCCAAGTTTAAACTGGAATGGGTGCTTTGGGGGCCATGGTTGGTCAAAGTTGACCCCGACTTTGACCAGGAGATCTATATATATATCTCTTCAGTTTTTCTGAACCCACCAAGTAGCCCTGTGGTTCTCCTAGAGTACTTAGGCTTTCTCCATCACAATAACAGTCTGTAACCCGGATTTGTTTTCTCTTAATCGATTTATGACTATTGAACAGCGGTATACTACTGTTGCCTTTATTATTCCCAGTGTCCTAGCACTCCCTTTGTTTTTAGGTGGGAATTGTCCTTGTTAATATTGTTGTAAATACGTTAGTGACACATCTCCATAAATCTCGTTAGGGAGTGTACACAGTTCCACTGTAACCTCACAGCTCTCGAAGGGTGCTCCACATAAAGGAAGAATCTACCCTTACATTCTACTGGCTCTTAACATTGGACCGATACTGTTCTTTGATAGTAAGTATTGGGTCTGTATTTTTGGGATCTTTCTTCAGACTCTTAATATAAAACTGATACTGTTCTTTGTTAGGAAGGGAAATATAACTATAAAAGTAACATTAATACTGTACAGTTATATGAATCCTTTACAGCCTCACATCTATATCTCCATATGATTATAGAGTTGTAGAACTTTATTTATTCTAGGTGGAAGCCATTGTCACATCAATACTTGTACTGTACAGTTATATGAATCCTTTACAGCCCCACATCTATATCTCCATATGATTATAGAGTTGTAGAACTTTATTTATTCTAGGTGGAAGCCCTCGTCACATCAGTACTTGTACTGTACAGTTATATGAATCATATACTTCTGTATTAAATGACTCCATGGTAGAGTTGTGAGACTTTAATTATTTGTTCTAGGTAACAGTGATACCACTAGTCATACCAATACTATAGAGTTATATGGACCAAATAAGGAAGCAACCCTGTATCCAATGACTCCGTCAGATGATGGTAGGAGTTATGGAACTTATGAGAAGAATATGGATGGATTTTCTGATGATTACAGTAATTATGAGGTACATTATTCAAGTCTTCATAAGAAGTTTTAGACATTAGCCTGGTGTGAGATGTTCCTGTTTTTATAATAATCGATTGTGCATTGTCAGTTTTGAGCTAATATCCTCATTTAAAGTCAAGTAGTGTTATGATTATTGTGATTTTTTTACCTGTTTCCCTGTTTGAAATTAACCATATATTTAGCATGATCAATTTCAATGATGTTTCCATAATGAATGTTAATATACAAATTATCAGAAGTTTGTTGCATGAATGACATGCTAGTTGTTAGTTATATTTTGTGGAAAAAAAACATTTGCAACAGAATTGTTTCAGAATTAGAAAAGATAATTTTTAAGCATGTTTACATATTGTTAATAATTTTGTGTTTCTGTTATCTAGAGGAAAAAAAAGGTACTGAGTGTTTTTATTTTGTTATCTTCTTTATTTTTTTATAAGGATTTCTGTCTTGGAGACCTTCGGGATAATACGTCCATGACAATCCTCACAGTATAAGTCCATTTGTTGTCAGTTACTTTGTTGACTTCAAAATAAAAATATATTGTCCTTCTCAAAACTTCATATAATTGTTCAAAAATTTTATATTTGAATAAGGTTGAAATATAAAATATTTGAATCCACTATAGATATTTGAGATTTGAAATTTATGCCAATTTTATACCTAGCATGGGTTAATTTGAAGTTGCCTCCCTTGGAAAATTATCTCCCCTGTTTTTTGTTTTTTAACAAAATTGATAATATTCTAAATTTACAGTGTTGTTTGATTGGTTATTACAAAATAGAATGTTTTGCTATCAAATTTTAAAGTGAATATTATATTTAGGAAATTTGTTTAGCAATGTTTACACATTTAAACCTAAAACAATATGTAAAATGTTTGAAATAAACGAAAGTTGATTTTTCAAGCGATCTAGATTATATGCTTTGATTGCACAATTTTATCAGTAGTATAGCTTTGGCTTGACAGCTTTTTTTACATTAACAACAAGAAATGAAATAATGGTTTCACAACATTTTAAATTGTATTGTTGAGGTAAAACAATATTCCCAAATGACAAAGAATTTGGCAGGTTAATCAAACAGCACTGTTCAATGTTTTACCTGCATGTAGTTCAGCATGATTTGCATGACCTTGAACTTTTTGTTTCCATAGCAAAATGATGGGAAAAGTACAAGTACAAACAGTTCCCATTGTAATTGTTACCAGATCAAGGTCGGAGTAAGATCAAGTGTACGAGGGATAAAGGGAAACTGTTGTCTTCCACACGACTCATCAGGGGTAAAGTTTACAATATTATCTTATGTAGGGTGCCAGTTCTCCATTAAGTTCTCTGATCTTTGTCACCATATACAGGGGGCCAGTTCTCCATTGAGTTCTCTGATCTTTGTCACCATATACAGGGGACCAGTTTCTCCATTGATTACTGTGATATATCTCCCTATACATCTGTTGTGTTGTAAAGGATCCAGAATGCGCATCAGGAATAGAAACTTAGTATTTAAGGTTGATTCTTTTCTTTTTTTTCAAAAGTATTTCATGAAAAGGAATAGATTTCTTTTTAAAAATTAAAAAAATTTTTTTTTTCACTTTTTAGTTCACCCAGCCTAAAAGGCCATTCCAGCTTTTGCCATCACTTGACCTTCATCTTCAATAGTATACTGTTTCAAAGATTTTCTCTATAACTCCTGAACCAATTTCACCCAAATTCAGGGTGAATTATCCTAAGGGTAACTATTATAGAGTTTGTGTTTTTTATCAGGTCTGTCAACGAACAAAGTCGCCCTAGCTTAAAATAAAACATAAGGGTAAATTGCATTGGAACTTTGAAAAAATCTTGAACTCATTTCATTGTTTACCATATTTTGTAATTATATTACTTTAATTATCAACACTGTTTCTCTTAATCACTGGTTTCAAGGACTCTTTCACAGGATATTTTTATACGCCCGTTTACGGGACGTATTATGGTATACCATTGTCTGTCCGTCCGTCGTCAACATGTCGGACAATAACTCAAAAACACTTTAACCAATTTGCATGAAACTTTAGTGAATTGTTTATATCTATTGACTGAGCTCCCTTTCGATTTTTATAAATTTTAGAATTTACCTTTCCGAGTTATAGGGTTTTATTCATTAAAAAAGGGGGATTTTCCAGTTTTCGGACAATAACTCAAAAATGCTTTAAGCAGTTTTCATGAAACTTTAGTGAATTGATTATATCTATTGACATAACTCCCTTGTGATTTTTATAAATTTTAGATTTTACGTTTCCAAGTTATGGGATTTTATTCATAAAAAAGGGGGGATTTTTCAGTTTTTGGACTATAACTCAAAAATGCTTTGAGCAGTTTTCATGAAACTTTGGTGACTGGTTCATATTTATTAAAATAACCTCCCTTTAGCTTTGTATAAATTTCTGATATGACATTGAGGAGTTATGGAACTTTATTCGTTGAAAAAGCGACGGGCCTATCATGCGCTCATTGCGCCGCTCTTTATTTACATCATGCCCTTTTGTACTTCTTATTTAATTGTTTGTTATGAATTATTTTGAATGCAAAAGTCAAAGTATCAATATATCATATAAAAGCTTTAGAAAAGTTGTAGTTGGGTAAAAATATAGTTTCTGTATAAAGAGATAATCAATTTATTTATAAGTTAAAACAAAATGATTAAAAGTGATTACATGTACAAAGTTGACACAATCACCCTTAATTCCTCTCTTGTACAGATAAGGAATCACTGCATTAACAGGAAAGGTTGCACTCAATTTGCAGCACTGGGTGAAGGTCATGTAGGGTTGGATACTCATTTATTTATGTACAAATTCTGAGATTTGCAGGAGAAAAGATTATCAGTGGAAAAGTTTTATATACAGAGATTTTCACAGGGCAATGGTTGCAGGAAGATCTTTTATCTTTCAGACATGTGGGTATTAAAGGGAAATGGCACCCTACGAGTCTGTAACCTATAAAATAAACTACTTATACAAACAAGTCAACAAACACATATATCCACACAAATGTATCCATTCTGTTCCTCTATGAGATGGAACTACTTATACAAACAGGTCAACAAACATATATATCTCACACAAATGTATCCAAACTGTTAATCTCTGAGATGTTTACATAATATTCAAATGTTTTGAATGACAAAATGACATTTCAAATGTGTAGTGATTTTGTGTAATGAATTAAAACACTGTATCCCTTCCTCCATTTATTTCTTGGATATGTTTCCCTTATATATTACATTTAGGATTCATTTTTAAAAGAGCATATTAAACTTACCATTTTTGGAGATTGAAATAAGTAATTGAGTGAAACCTTTTATAAAAAAATATGCTTTTCTAATTACAAATGGAAAAATTTAAGAATATATTTAAATATATATATATATAATGCAATAGTAAAGTATACTTTATAGACAGTCTGCACATAGCTTCATTATTTCTTTTATACCAAATTCTGCACTTTGCCTTAAAGCTAAGATTATAGAGTAGACCTCTGCCTTTATTAAATGTGGAGTACAATTAGAATCAGAGAACAATCATTTATTAATATGTTTTACAGGATGAAGATGTGAAGCGTGTTTTCCTGCCTCCTCCGGCTTATCAAAGTAGGTCGTACACACCCAGTAAATCTGATTCTCCAATGATGAACCATAAAACATTCCTTTCTGATTCAAGAACCTATTTAGATGACCCAGACAGACAACAATGGCGATATGAAGGTTAGTTTATAAAATACATTCAAACACATAAAATTCTACTGAAAACATGACACCTTAAACAATCAATCATTTTGATATTCCAGATCCATATGATATTGTTCTAAAATAATCATTCATTTCGATAATGCAAATTCTTATAATAATGTTCTAAAACAATCCACCATTTTGATATTGCAAATTCTGATAATAATATTCCAAAGCAACCAACCATTTTGATATTTCACATCTATATAAATAAAACAACCAATCATTTTGATATTCCACATCTATATAATAATTTTCTAAAACAATCAACCTTTTTGATATTCCACATCTATATAATATTGTTCTAAAACAATCAACCATTTTGATATTTCACATCTATATGAATAAAACAATCAACCATTTTGATATTCCACATGTATATAATAATTTTCTAAAACAATCAACCTTTTTGTTATTCCACATCTATATAATAATTTTCTAAAACAATCAACCTTTTTGTTATTCCACATCTATATAATAATTTTCTAAAACAATCAATCCTTTTGATATTCCACATCTATATAATAATTTTCTAAAACAATCAATCCTTTTGATATTCCAAATCTATATAATAATTTTCTAAAACAATCAATCATTTTGATATTCCACATCTATATAATAATTTTCTAAAACAATCAATCCTTTTGATATTCCAGATCTATATAATAATTTTCTAAAACAATCAACCATTTTGATATTCCACATCTATATAATAATTTTCTAAAACAATCAATCCTTTTGTTATTCCATATCGATATAATAATTTTCTAAAACAATCAATCATTTTGTTATTCCACATCTATATAATATTGTTCTAAAACAATCAACCTTTTTGATATTCCACATCTATATAATAATTTTCTAAAACAACCAACCATTTTGATATTCCACATCTATGTAATAATTTTCTAAAACAATCAACCATTTTGTTATTCCACATCTATATAATAATTTTCTAAAACAATCAATCCTTTTGATATTCCACATCTATATAATAATTTTCTAAAACAATCAATCCTTTTGATATTCCAAATCTATATAATAATTTTCTAAAACAATCAATCATTTTGATATTCCACATCTATATAATAATTTTCTAAAACAATCAATCCTTTTGATATTCCAGATCTATATAATAATTTTCTAAAACAATCAACCATTTTGATATTCCACATCTATATAATAATTTTCTAAAACAATCAATCATTTTGTTATTCCATATCGATATAATAATTTTCTAAAACAATCAATCATTTTGTTATTCCACATCTATATAATATTGTTCTAAAACAATCAACCTTTTTGATATTCCACATCTATATAATAATTTTCTAAAACAACCAACCATTTTGATATTCCACATCTATGTAATAATTTTCTAAAACAATCAACCATTTTGATATTCCAGATCTATATAATAATTTTGTAAAACAATCAACCATTTTGAAATTCCACATCTATATAATAATTTTGTAAAACAATCAATCCTTTTGATATTCCAAATCTATATAATAATTTTCTAAAACAATCAATCATTTTGATATTCCACATCTATATAATAATTTTCTAAAACAATCAATCCTTTTGATATTCCAGATCTATATAATAATTTTCTAAAACAATCAACCATTTTGATATTCCACATCTATATAATAATTTTCTAAAACAATCAATCATTTTGTTATTCCATATCGATATAATAATTTTCTAAAACAATCAATCATTTTGTTATTCCACATCTATATAATATTGTTCTAAAACAATCAACCTTTTTGATATTCCACATCTATATAATAATTTTCTAAAACAACCAACCATTTTGATATTCCACATCTATATAATAATTTTCTAAAACAACCAATCCTTTTGTTATTCCAGAACCATATAAGAATAACAGTCGAGGTAAAGGTACATTTGATGACTATATAGACAATGGCTATGATGATGATACTCGACCAAAAGTAAGTATGGTTTTTTTAAGTTTATGTGTTTTTGAAATAAAATGAATTTTATGTTTAAATCTTAAACAAAGAATTTCAATGTAATATGAATATGGACCCTGTTTGTACTCGACCAACTCCCTGAGCTGAATTTTAAATATGCTAGTTAATAAGGTAACAGTTAGCAGGACATATCACCCTACCCAGACACATTATTTTGCATCCAAGCTGACCAGTCTTTTCTTTTACTCCTAAATGCCACATGTGATGCAGAAAACAGCAACAATAATGAGTAACAATGACCTGGGCTGGTATAAAACCCCTGGCGTCTTGTACTGGAGGCAAGAATTCTACCATGCAGTTACTTATGACTTCTGAGATTATTAGTAGATTTTAATTTAATGAATCCCAATGAAAATCTGAATTATAGGTCAACCATATTTATCATATGGATTGGTTTTGAATGCTAATTTCACATATATCGTAACTTCATAAGACCTTAATCTCAGTTTCCCACTCCAGTTGTCAGGTTAAGTTTTCAAGATTACTATAACTTGAAATGTCAACAATGTTTGATGTGTGAAAGGTTATAAATAATATATGTCTGTCTTGCCAAGTGTCAAATGGCCTTGACCTCAATATTACCCTCAAGTGGTCAGGTTATGAGGTTTGTTTCTCAGTAAATGTACATAACATATGCTATTTTGATTGACTGCAAGGAATCTGTCTGACAAATCTTATTTCACCTTGATCTAAATCTTATGACTCAATGATCTGGTTTAAATTTCAGGATAAGGTTTTATGAGTAACTATGCATAATAAATCAACAATACTTGGTATGTAGAACAGTTGGGAGGAGTATATGGCTGTCTAAAATATGTCATATGACCTTGGCCTCATTTCCAGTGGTCATTTAAGTTTGTGTACCTCAGAATTTTTACTTGATAGGGTGAAAATAACTTACAAGTGAATTACTTATATGTACATAAACAAATGCACTTTTAGAAAAATCTAATTTTACAGCAGTTAAACATGTACCATATGTGTGTCATGTATTGCTTATTGTTTACAAGAACATTGTCTAGACTTGACAATATGAATTCAAGATTGATTTTCTCTACAGTGTTGACAAGTGTCCATCATTGCAGACTATATTTTGACCTGTAGATGTATATCTTTGGTTTACATACATTGTATGGTTGCTGTAAGGTTTTTGCTCAAATTCTTTTTCAGAATTTTATAAATTATAAAAAAGATTTTGATAAACTTGGTTACATACTGTGTATAATCTGGTGATGACATCATTATTTTCTTTTGTAGAGTACAACAGATTTTTCTGACAGGTCAAGTCGGACAACATCCAGTAGTAGACTGGGAGGTAAAACTCCACCCCCTCAGCCTCCAATCAGATCATCAAGTAAAGGTGCTACAAATCATTATTGTCAATCACCAGTTCCACCGCTACCAGCTAGAAACTATGACTTGGAGGAGTTACCTCCACCTTTTGAGGATGAACGATATGTTCGAGCCCCAGGTAAGTTAACACCAATCAATGTCATTTATAAAATCAAAACTCTGATTATAGTGTTAGGATGTCTATTTAGTGTGACGTCCATTTTCACTGAACTAGTACACAATTTTATTTAGGGGCCAGCTGAGGACCACCTCCGGGTGCGGGATTTTCTCACTGAATTGAAGACCCATTGGTGGCCTTCGGCTGTTGTCTGCTCTTTGGTCGGGTTGTTGTCTCTTTGACATAGTCCCCATTTCCATTCTCAATTTTTCTTTATATCAGGATACAAAACTCTGATTATAGTGTTAGGACGTCCCCTTCAAAATATACCTTTATATCAGGATACAAAACTCTGATTATAGTGTTAGTACGTCCCCTTCAAAATATACCTTTATATCAGGATAGAATTCATAGTGGATAGAATGAGAATAGGCACAACTCATCAGACACTAAAACTATCAGGAATAAAGCCATCAATCTAGAGAAGTAATTTTGGGTCAGTTTATATATACTAGACAGAACTTATATCGACACATCAAAACACTGTGAATGCTTTCAAGAGGGAAATTTTCCTGATGTGTTTAGTTTTGTTAATTTTGTGTTTAAGATGTAATGGCTAAAAGTTTCCTTTACTTAAAAATCATTCTTAAGGATGATAACGGTAATTTATTGATACTTGGCAGAACTTATATTGGTATGAATTTGTATTGGACAATAGTAGAGAAAGTATAATTGTATGAAGATCCACTTCTGATAGACAATAGTTCATAGTGGACCTCTGAAGAGACTTAATTTGAATTCTGATTAAAAAAAGATATGCAACATGACATCAACAAAAACACTAGTGGATCAACATCCAGTTTTTAAAAATAAAAAAAAAAATATACCAAGTGGGTAATTTAAAACCCTTGTTTGAAGTAAGATGGATAATGTTTCCATGGCCACCAAACATGACAAAGTAGAAGAGACAACAACAGTCTACATCATACCACACACAAAACTAATAGATTTAGGTACACAAACCAGCTCTACAACATACCACGCACAAAACTTATAGATTTAGGTACACAAACCAGCTCTACAACATACCACACACAAAACTAATAGATTTAGCTACACAAACCAGCTCTACAACATACGACATACAAAACTAATAGATTTAGCTACACAAACCATCTCTACAACATACCACACACAAAACTAATAGATTTAGCTACACAAACCAGCTCTACAACATACAACATACAAAACTAATAGATTTAGCTACACAAACCAGGTCTACAACATACCACACACAAAACTAATAGATTTAGGTACACAAACCAGCTCTACAACATACCACGCACAAAACTAATAGATTTAGCTACACAAACCAGCTCTACAACATACCACACACAAAACTAATAGATTTAGGTACACAAACCAGCTCTACAACATACCACACACAAAACTAATAGATTTAGCTACTCAAAAACCAGCTATACAACATACGACACAGAAAATAAAAGATTTAGCTACACAAACCAGCTCTACAACATACTACACACAAAACTCATAGATTTAGGTACACAAACCAGCTATACAACATACCGGTACCACACACAAAACTAATAGATTTAGCTACACAAACCAGCTCTACAACATACCACACACAAAACTAATAGATTTAGGTACACAAACCAGCTCTACAACATACCGGTACCACACACAAAACTAATAGATTTAACTACACAAACTAGCTCTACAACATACCACACACAAAACTAATAGATTTAGCTACACAAACCAGCTCTACAACATACCACACACAAAACTAATAGATTTAACTACACAAACTAGCTCTACAACATACCACACACAAAACTAATAGATTTAACTACACAAACTAGCTCTACAACATACCACACACAAAACTAATAGATTTAGCTACACAAACTAGCTCTACAACATACCACACACAAAACTAATAGATTTAGCTACACAAACCATCTCTACAACATACCACACACAAAACTAATAGATTTAGCTACACAAACCAGCTCTACAACATACCACACACAAAACTAATAGATTTAGCTACACAAACCAGCTCTACAACATACCACACACAAAACTAATAGATTTAGGTACACAAACCAGCTCTACAACATACCACACACAAAACTAATAGCTTTAGGTACACAAACCAGCTCTACAACATACCACACACAAAACTAATAGACTTAGCTACTCAAAAACCAGCTATACAACATACGACACAGAAAATAAAAGATTTAGCTACACAAACCATCTCTACAACATACCATACACAAAACTAATAGATTTAGGTACACAAACCATCTCTACAACATACCACACACAAAACTAATAGATTTAGCTACACAAACCAGCTCTACAACATACCACACACAAAACTAATAGATTTAACTACACAAACCAGCTCTACAACATACCACACACAAAACTAATAGATTTAACTACACAAACTAGCTCTACAACATACCACACACAAAACTAATAGATTTAACTACACAAACTAGCTCTACAACATACCACACACAAAACTAATAGATTTAGCCACACAAACCAGCTCTACAACATACCACACACAAAACTTATAGATTTAGCTACACAAACCAGCTCTACAACATACCACACACACAAAACTAATATATTTAACTACACAAACCATCTCTACAACATACCACGCACAAAACTAATAGATTTAGCTACACAAACCATCTCTACAACATACCACACACAAAACTAATAGATTTAGGTACACAAACCAGCTCTACAACATACCACGCACAAAACTAATAGATTTAACTACACAAACTAGCTCTACAACATACCACACACAAAACTAATAGATTTAGCTACACAAACCATCTCTACAACATACCACACACAAAACTAATAGATTTAGGTACACAAACCTGCTCTACAACATACCACGCACAAAACTTATAGATTTAGCTACACAAACCAGCTCTACAACATACCACACACAAAACTAATAGATTTAGCTACACAAACCAGCTCTACAACATACCACACACAAAACTAATAGATTTAACTACACAAACTAGCTCTACAACATACCACACACAAAACTAATAGATGTAACTACACAAACTAGCTCTACAACATACCACACACAAAACTAATAGATTTAGCTACACAAACCAGCTCTACAACATACCACACAAAACTTATAGATTTAGCTACACAAACAATCTCTACAACATACCACGCACAAAACTAATAGATTTAGCTACACAAACCAGCTCTACAACATACCACACACAAAACTAATAGATTTAGGTACACAAACCAGCTCTACAACATACCACACACAAAACTAATAGCTTTAGGTACACAAACCAGCTCTACAACATACCACACACAAAACTAATAGACTTAGCTACTCAAAAACCAGCTATACAACATACGACACAGAAAATAAAAGATTTAGCTACACAAACCATCTCTACAACATACCATACACAAAACTAATAGATTTAGGTACACAAACCATCTCTACAACATACCACACACAAAACTAATAGATTTAGCTACACAAACCAGCTCTACAACATACCACACACAAAACTAATAGATTTAACTACACAAACCAGCTCTACAACATACCACACACAAAACTAATAGATTTAACTACACAAACTAGCTCTACAACATACCACACACAAAACTAATAGATTTAACTACACAAACTAGCTCTACAACATACCACACACAAAACTAATAGATTTAGCCACACAAACCAGTTCTACAACATACCACACACAAAACTTATAGATTTAGCTACACAAACCAGCTCTACAACATACCACACACACAAAACTAATATATTTAACTACACAAACCATCTCTACAACATACCACGCACAAAACTAATAGATTTAGCTACACAAACCATCTCTACAACATACCACACACAAAACTAATAGATTTAGGTACACAAACCAGCTCTACAACATACCACGCACAAAACTAATAGATTTAACTACACAAACTAGCTCTACAACATACCACACACAAAACTAATAGATTTAGCTACACAAACCATCTCTACAACATACCACACACAAAACTAATAGATTTAGGTACACAAACCTGCTCTACAACATACCACGCACAAAACTTATAGATTTAGCTACACAAACCAGCTCTACAACATACCACACACAAAACTAATAGATTTAGCTACACAAACCAGCTCTACAACATACCACGCACAAAACTAATAGATTTAGCTACACAAACCATCTCTACAACATACGACACACAAAACTAATAGATTTAGCTACACAAACCAGCTCTACAACATACCACGCACAAAACTAATAGATTTAGCTACACAAACCATCTCTACAACATACGACACACAAAACTTATAGATTTAGGTACACAAACCAGCTCTACAACATACCACACACAAAACTAATAGATTTAGCTACACAAACCAGCTCTACAACATACGACATACAAAACTAATAGATTTAGCTACACAAACCATCTCTACAACATACCACACACAAAACTAATAGATTTAGCTACACAAACCAGCTCTACAACATACAACATACAAAACTAATAGATTTAGCTACACAAACCAGGTCTACAACATACCACACACAAAACTAATAGATTTAGGTACACAAACCAGCTCTACAACATACCACGCACAAAACTAATAGATTTAGCTACACAAACCAGCTCTACAACATACCACACACAAAACTAATAGATTTAGGTACACAAACCAGCTCTACAACATACCACACACAAAACTAATAGATTTAGCTACTCAAAAACCAGCTATACAACATACGACACAGAAAATAAAAGATTTAGCTACACAAACCAGCTCTACAACATACTACACACAAAACTCATAGATTTAGGTACACAAACCAGCTATACAACATACCGGTACCACACACAAAACTAATAGATTTAGCTACACAAACCAGCTCTACAACATACCACACACAAAACTAATAGATTTAGGTACACAAACCAGCTCTACAACATACCGGTACCACACACAAAACTAATAGATTTAACTACACAAACTAGCTCTACAACATACCACACACAAAACTAATAGATTTAGCTACACAAACCAGCTCTACAACATACCACACACAAAACTAATAGATTTAACTACACAAACTAGCTCTACAACATACCACACACAAAACTAATAGATTTAACTACACAAACTAGCTCTACAACATACCACACACAAAACTAATAGATTTAGCTACACAAACTAGCTCTACAACATACCACACACAAAACTAATAGATTTAGCTACACAAACCATCTCTACAACATACCACACACAAAACTAATAGATTTAGCTACACAAACCAGCTCTACAACATACCACACACAAAACTAATAGATTTAGCTACACAAACCAGCTCTACAACATACCACACACAAAACTAATAGATTTAGGTACACAAACCAGCTCTACAACATACCACACACAAAACTAATAGCTTTAGGTACACAAACCAGCTCTACAACATACCACACACAAAACTAATAGACTTAGCTACTCAAAAACCAGCTATACAACATACGACACAGAAAATAAAAGATTTAGCTACACAAACCATCTCTACAACATACCATACACAAAACTAATAGATTTAGGTACACAAACCATCTCTACAACATACCACACACAAAACTAATAGATTTAGCTACACAAACCAGCTCTACAACATACCACACACAAAACTAATAGATTTAACTACACAAACCAGCTCTACAACATACCACACACAAAACTAATAGATTTAACTACACAAACTAGCTCTACAACATACCACACACAAAACTAATAGATTTAACTACACAAACTAGCTCTACAACATACCACACACAAAACTAATAGATTTAGCCACACAAACCAGCTCTACAACATACCACACACAAAACTTATAGATTTAGCTACACAAACCAGCTCTACAACATACCACACACACAAAACTAATATATTTAACTACACAAACCATCTCTACAACATACCACGCACAAAACTAATAGATTTAGCTACACAAACCATCTCTACAACATACCACACACAAAACTAATAGATTTAGGTACACAAACCAGCTCTACAACATACCACGCACAAAACTAATAGATTTAACTACACAAACTAGCTCTACAACATACCACACACAAAACTAATAGATTTAGCTACACAAACCATCTCTACAACATACCACACACAAAACTAATAGATTTAGGTACACAAACCTGCTCTACAACATACCACGCACAAAACTTATAGATTTAGCTACACAAACCAGCTCTACAACATACCACACACAAAACTAATAGATTTAGCTACACAAACCAGCTCTACAACATACCACACACAAAACTAATAGATTTAACTACACAAACTAGCTCTACAACATACCACACACAAAACTAATAGATTTAACTACACAAACTAGCTCTACAACATACCACACACAAAACTAATAGATTTAGCTACACAAACCAGCTCTACAACATACCACACAAAACTTATAGATTTAGCTACACAAACAATCTCTACAACATACCACGCACAAAACTAATAGATTTAGCTACACAAACCAGCTCTACAACATACCACACACAAAACTAATAGATTTAGGTACAAAAACCAGCTCTACAACATACCACACACAAAACTAATAGCTTTAGGTACACAAACCAGCTCTACAACATACCACACACAAAACTAATAGACTTAGCTACTCAAAAACCAGCTATACAACATACGACACAGAAAATAAAAGATTTAGCTACACAAACCATCTCTACAACATACCATACACAAAACTAATAGATTTAGGTACACAAACCATCTCTACAACATACCACACACAAAACTAATAGATTTAGCTACACAAACCAGCTCTACAACATACCACACACAAAACTAATAGATTTAACTACACAAACCAGCTCTACAACATACCACACACAAAACTAATAGATTTAACTACACAAACTAGCTCTACAACATACCACACACAAAACTAATAGATTTAACTACACAAACTAGCTCTACAACATACCACACACAAAACTAATAGATTTAGCCACACAAACCAGTTCTACAACATACCACACACAAAACTTATAGATTTAGCTACACAAACCAGCTCTACAACATACCACACACACAAAACTAATATATTTAACTACACAAACCATCTCTACAACATACCACGCACAAAACTAATAGATTTAGCTACACAAACCATCTCTACAACATACCACACACAAAACTAATAGATTTAGGTACACAAACCAGCTCTACAACATACCACGCACAAAACTAATAGATTTAACTACACAAACTAGCTCTACAACATACCACACACAAAACTAATAGATTTAGCTACACAAACCATCTCTACAACATACCACACACAAAACTAATAGATTTAGGTACACAAACCTGCTCTACAACATACCACGCACAAAACTTATAGATTTAGCTACACAAACCAGCTCTACAACATACCACACACAAAACTAATAGATTTAGCTACACAAACCAGCTCTACAACATACCACGCACAAAACTAATAGATTTAGCTACACAAACCATCTCTACAACATACGACACACAAAACTAATAGATTTAGCTACACAAACCAGCTATACAACATACCACACACAAAACTATTAGATTTAACTACACAAACTAGCTCTACAACATACGACATACAAAACTAATAGATTTAGCTACACGAACCAGTTCTACAACATACCACACACAAAACTAATAGATTTAGGTACACAAACTAGCTCTACAACATACCACACACAAAACTAATAGATTTAGCTACTCAAACCAGCTCTACAACATACCACGCACATAACTAATAGATTTAGCTACTCAAACCATCTCTACAACATACCACACACAAAACTAATAGATTTAGCTACACAAACCATCTCTACAACATACCACACACAAAACTAATAGATTTAGCTACACAAACCATCTCTACAACATACCACACACAAAACTAATAGATTTAGCTACACAAACCATCTCTACAACATACCACACACAAAACTAATAGATTTAGCTACTCAAACCATCTCTACAACATACCACACACAAAACTAATAGATTTAGGTACACAAACCATCTCTACAACATATGAGACAGAAAATGAAAGATTTAGCTTCACATACCAGCTCTACAACATACGACACAGAAAATAAAAGATTTAGCTACGGTACACAAACCAGCTCTACAACATACGACACACAAAACTAATAGATTTATGTACACAAACCATCTCTACAACATACCACACACAAAACTAATAGATTTAGCTACACAAACCATCTCTACAACATATGAGACAGAAAATGAAAGATTTAGCTTCACATACCAGCTCTACAACATACGACACAGAAAATAAAAGATTTAGCTACACAAACCAGCTATACAACATACCACACAGAAAATAAAGAATTAGCTACACATACCAGCTCTACAACATATGACACAGAAAATAAAAGATTTAGCTTCGGTACACAAACCAGCTCTACAACATACGACACAGAAAATAAAAGATTTAGCTACACAAACCAGCTATACAACATACCACACAGAAAATAAAAGAATTAGCTACACAAACCAGCTATACAACATACCACACAGAAAATAAAAGAATTAGCTACACAAACCAGCTATACAACATACCACACAGAAAATAAAAGAATTAGTTACACAAACCAGCTTAAGATTATGGTAGACCTAGTTCTTCTTAAGGACCTGTGTGTCAGGTGTATCATACACTTTTTTATTGTTAATTAGAAAACTAAAAAATTAAAAAAGAAAAATTCTTTTTTTTTGCATAATTAACAAAAAAATCTTTTCAATTTGTAGTAAATGAAATATTTGTAGGTTCTAGACAAATAACTTTTCTAACAGAACAAGTAAAACATGTAAAATGTTTCATGTACCATATTTCTGCCTTCTGGAGAGAATTATTCTATGAAAATTAAACCTGAGTAGTGTTTAATTTATAATGTTCAATATTTAGAATTTTTCATTTCTGCTTTCAGGAGAGAATTATTCCACAAATATTATACCAAATCCTTCATATAATGGACCAATATCTAGAGCCCCATCTCGGACATACCAAGAAGATGATATGAGGGGCCATCTTGTATAGCAGTCTGTCTGTGATTCTTGCCTTTGTGATGTAGTTCTGGTATTTTTAGAACCAGCATATTATGTACAAGAATCATTCCAAAAATCATCTCAACATTATACACTTCAAAACATTAACTTGGATTTCTACATTTATAAAGTAAGATCTGAGGTTACTGTATTATACAGATCTTGATTTGCAACAGAATTAGCTTGATGATAATAACAGAATAAACTTCTATTGTAAACAGAGCTTGGTTGTTCAAAGAATTATTACAATGATAATTACAGAAGAAACAATATATCGACCAGTATTAAAGACTATGGACTGTGATTATAGTGTTCAATAAGTACTGTGAAATATTTTCACCATCTCATCAGACAATATTTCCTATATTATTATATGGGTACCATATAAGGAGTTATTATACTGATTTAAGACTGAACTCACTGCCATCAGTATAACCATCACCATTATCAACATTATTATGGTGCTATGCATTGGCTTTATTTTTTTATCTTTGTGATGAGAGTTTATTATGCATTGTTTATTAGGTTTTTGTGTAATTAACAATTTGTTATATATGTCCTTAGTCTATCACTTCATATCACATTATCCATTAGGTTTCAGATGATTTTTAAATCTTTGAATATTGCATAGCACCTCATTAATGATCTTGCTGTCACTCTTCAGGTTACTCTCCTGATGAAGAGTAGCAATAAGACCATTATTTCATTGATATGCTATGAAATTGTCTCCTTTATACAAACTGTTGTGTGTCCTATCACGTCATGATATTTTTGTCCTTTTTATACCCACCTTGTCATATGTATACCCACCTTATTATTTACCTTAGTCGAATCATGTTTATAACATATCATTTGATGAGTGCTTAAAAGATTCTGTTAAAGTTATTATATTAAGTATCATTATTCAAACAATTTGGTCACTTGATTCTTTTGAATGTTGAATTGCTTTTAACTATATTAGATTTGTTACTGTTTGAATGAATAATTTGTTTCATACTTGTCATTTATTTTTATACGACCGAAAAAAATTCACATTTATATATTGCTATCATGTCTTCGTTGTCGTCGTCGTCCGAAGACATTTGGTTTCCAGACAAAAACTTTAGAATAAGTGAATGGATCTCTATGAAATTTAAGCACAAGGTTCAATAGCATAAAAGGAAGGTTAGTATTAATTTTGGGGGTTATGGTCCCAACTGTTTAGGAATTAGGGGTCAAAAAGGGGCCAAAAAAGGAACAATGGTTTTCTGGTTTCCGGACAAATACTTAGGTATCAGTCAATGGATCTCTATGAAATTGTACCACAAGGTTCCAAACCACTCACAGAAGGTTGGAGTCTATTTTGTGGGTTGTGGCTTTAATCGTTAAGAAACTAGAGGCCAAATAGGGGCCAAAAACAAGACTTTTCTAATACTGGCTGAGCTGGTTCTAACATAATTATTTCTGAACTATATAAAGAAACAACAAATACTGATATGGCAGGAGATACACACCAAACAGGGTGTGTAAATTATTATATTTAGTTTGTAAACAGATTTACTAAGTATTGCGCAACAGCAAAGTATTGCACAACAGCAAGAAATCTTCAATTGAAAATAAATACAAATCTTTTAACCAATTTCAATGAGGATTAATTTAAAGTCTTGAATTGTTTGAGGTTTTTACCATGTATTACTATATTGGATATTTGGACATTTTAAATAGGTCTACATTGAGGTCCAAAGGGTTCAAAATTAGACTTTGTTTGATTTCATCAAAAACTGAATTCTTGTGGTTCTATGATATGCTGAATCTAACTGTGCATTCATATTTTTAATTTTGGGCCCTGTTTTCAAATAAGGCCATATTAAGGTCCAAAGGGTCTAAAATTAAACTTTGTTTGAATTCATGTTTTTTTTTTCATATGCTGAATCTAACCATGGAATTAGTTTTTGGATATTGGACCATTAACTAGATTAAATGTCCCATTTAAAATTTTTAAGTTATCAGACCACATTTATTCTGCGTCAGAAATCTATAAAGTGTCAAATATTTTATCACTATCCAAATTCAGAGCTGTATCAAGCTTGAATATTGTGTCCATACTTGCCCTAACTGTTCAGAGTTCGACCTCTGTGGTCGTATCCAGTTGCTCTAGGTGGAGCACATTTTTGAATTATAGACAAAATTTGGAATATAAGTTTTTGAATTCTTTAAATGGTTTTAATGATTTAAATACATCCAATTTTTTTCCTTGAATATTTTTTTTAAAACAGAGATATATTTTATTATTGTTTGATGCATCTGTTATTATTATAATACTGAAAGATGAAAGGATCAATTGTTCTCCATTTTTTGTTTTTTGTTGTAGTACATTTTTTGTTCTTTTTTTATCAGCAATATAAGATTTTTTTATTATCAATTTCATTTGAAGCTTTAATTCACAGCAAGGTTTTAGTGCAATTTTCTATATTTAAGCTTGTTTTTAAAGTTAATTTTTTAACTCTTATATTCAACACATATCATCACATAGTCATATCTTCAAATTATCCCCAAATTATCATCAGACCATTTATTTTACATTTTTATATTTTTTAAAATCTTAGATAATAAAATAATAAAATTTTGACAGAAGTTTGTTGTCTTTACATGAGTAATAGTTATTTGTAGATTATAATGATTTATTCATCAAATATTACTGTTTCTTGAAGAGAAATAAAAAATTGAATTTCTAGGATTTTATATTAATGTTTTGAGTTTTTTGTCCATTTTGATCCTAGCTTTATTTTATTGTTGAAAGCCTTACATTTATTTTTAATTGTATGTTCTGCATATCTCTACTATATAAGGAGCAGCACAATGAGTGTTGGTGTAAAGAATAAATATTTAGCTCTCAGATTAATGTGAGCATTTCCCTACCCTGATTTAAGTCACTTGATGTATTTAGAAAATACAACTTAACTGTCTTATTTTTAATAGTTTTTAAATGTGTTTTATGACTAGCTGTTGTTAAAATGCATCAAAATAATAGAATTTATGTGTTTTATGAGTAGCAGTTGTTTAAGTGCGTCAGAGTGATCAATAGAATGTGTTTGCTTTATGAGAGGCAGTTTTATAAGTGTAAAGAATGTTTGATAGGATTGGAATAATTAGTAGTCCTGTTTTTGAAAATTTCTTTTTTATTCTTTCTTTGCAAAGGTGCATTATTATATCTGTTATTGATGAAGTTAAGAAACTGAATTTATATGGGAAAAGAAATATTTTTATTTGACAGTTAAAGACTATAATAGAATATTTAAATTAATTTCATTTCTTAGGTTAATAGCTGAATGAATGCATGTGATTTCAACAAAGTGTTACATTTTACAAATTAATATTAAAGTTCTTAAACAATAGAATATTTCTTATTGATACTTTTAGTTTGTTGTTTGGTTGATATGTCACACAGTGTTCTGATGGTTGATGTGTCAAATGGTGGTCTGATGGTTGATGTGTCACATGGTGATCTGATGGTTGATGTGTCACATGGTGGTCTTGGTTGATGTGTCACATGGTGATCTGATGGTTGATGTGTCACATGGTAGTCTGATGGTTGATGTGTCACATGGTGGTCTTGGTTGATGTGTCACATGGTAGTATGATGGTTGATGTGTCACATGGTGGTCTTGGTTGATGTGTCACATGGTAGTATGATGGTTGATGTGTCACATGGCGGTCTGATGGTTGATGTGTCACATGGTAGTCTGATGGTTGATGTGTCACATGGTGGTCTTGGTTGATGTGTCACATGGTAGTATGATGGTTGATGTGTCACATGGTGGTCTGATGGTTGATGTGTCACATGGCGGTCTGATTAAGACAAAGGATGGTCAAAATCTTCCATTCCTTTTCTTGATGTTTAGCTGCACTGGTAAGAGAATTGTAATTTGTGACAGAAATTTTGGTCTTAATGTGATATGAAATGTCAGATGATATTTTAAGTCTTGTTGAGATCTTAAGATAACTTTTAATACATTATTACAATATATTTAGTAATGTCTAAATATTTGGCACACTCATGTTCAGATCTCCTCGGTCATTTTCAAGATAAGTCAATGTTAAGACATCTCACAAGAATTCACTTCAGATCTTAACAGTTACTTTCCATTAAGTTTGCCTTTCTTTAGAGCAGATACAAACACTCATTGATCATTCTTCCATTACGTTTGCCTTTCCTTAGAGCAGATACAAACATCCATTGATCATTCTTCCATTAAGTTTGCCTTTCTTTAGAGCAGATACAAACATCCATAGATCATTCTTCCATTACGTTTGCCTTTCTTTAGAGCAGATACAAACATCCATTGATCATTCTTCCATTAAGCTTGCCTTTCTTTAGAGCAGATACAAACATCAATTGTTCATTCTTCCATTACGTTTGCCTTTCCTTAGAGCAGATACAAACACCCATTGATCATTCTTCCATTAAGTTTGTCTTTCTTTAGAACAGATACAAACATCCATTGATCATTCTTCCATTAAGTTTGCCTTTCTTTAGAACAGATACAAACGTCCATTGATCATTCTTCCATTAAGTTTGCCTTTCTTTAGAGCAGATACAAACACCCATTGATCATTCTTCCATTAAGTTTGTCTTTCTTTAGAGCAGATACAAACATCCATTGATCATTCTTCCATTAAGTTTGCCTTTCTTTAGAGCAGATACAAACACCCATTGATCATTCTTCCATTACGTTTGCCTTTCTTTAGAGCAGATACAAACATCCATTGATGATTCTTCCATTACGTTTGCCTTTCTTTAGAGCAGATACAAACATCCATTGATCATTCTTCCATTAAGTTTGCCTTTCCTTAGAGCAGATACATCCATAAATCATTCTTCCATTAAGTTTGCCTTTCTTTAGAGCAGATAAAACACCCATTGATCATTCTTCCATTAAGTTTGCCTTTCCTTAGAGCAGATACAAACATCCATTGATCATTCTTGCATTAAGTTTGCCTTTCTTTAGAGCAGATACAAACACCCATTGATCATTCTTCCATTAAGTTTGCCTTTCCTTAGAGCAGATACAAACATCCATTGATGATTCTTCCATTAAGTTTGCCTTTCCTTAGAGCAGATACAAACATCCATAGATCATTCTTCCATTAAGTTTGCCTTTCCTTAGAGCAGATACATCCATTGATCATTCTTCCATTAAGTTTGCCTTTCTTTAGAGCAGATCAAACACCCATTGATCATTCTTCCATTAAGTTTGCCGTTCCTTAGAGCAGATACAAACATCCATTGATGATTCTTCCATTAAGTTTGCCTTTCCTTAGAGCAGATACAAACATCCATAGATCATTCTTCCATTAAGTTTGCCTTTCCTTAGAGCAGATCAAACACCCATTGATCATTCTTCCAATAAGTTTGCCTTTCCTTAGAGCAGATACAAATAACATCCATAGATCATTCTTCCATTAAGTTTGCCCTTCCTTAGAGCAGATCAAACACCCATTGATCATTCTTCCAATAAGTTTGCCTTTCCTAAGAGCAGATACAAACATCCATTGATGATTCTTCCATTAAGTTTGCCTTTCTTTAGAGCAGATACATCCATAGATCATTCTTCCGCTAAGTTTGTCTTTCTTTAGAGCAGATCAAACACCCATTGATCATTCTTCCATTAAGTTTGCCTTTCCTTAGAGCAGATACAAACACCCATTGATCATTCTTCCATTAAGTTTGCCTTTCCTTAGAGCAGATACATCCATAAATCATTCTTCCATTAAGTTTGCCTTTCTTTAGGGCAGATCAAACACCCATTTATCGTTCTTTCATTACGTTTGCCTTTCTTTAGAGCAGATACAAACATCCATTGATCATTCTTCCATTAAGTTTGCCTTTCTTTAGAGCAGATACAAACACCCATTGATCATTCTTCCATTAAGTTTGTCTTTCTTTAGAGCAGATACAAATATCCATTGATCATTCTTCCATTAAGTTTGCCTTTCTTTAGAGCAGATCAAACACCCATTGATCGTTCTTCCATTAAGTTTGCCTTTCTTTAGAGCAGATACAAACATCCATTGATCATTCTTCCATTAAGTTTGTCTTTCTTTAGAGCAGATACAAACACCCATTGATCATTCTTCCATTAAGTTTGCCTTTCTTTAGAGCAGATACAAAAATCCATTGATCATTCTTCCAAGTAATTTGAACAAAAAAAGAAAGGTTCATTGCATGTTTTTCCCTGCCACATTCTGTATATTCCTGTCCCAAGTCCTTTAATTCAGTGATTTGTTGTTCATTACTATCTGCTACATTAATTTTGATTTATTGTTTTATTATAATTGAGATTGTTGATTTTTTGAAAGATTGGAACTATTGTTCCAATTCTTTCCTAAGGCACCAGACTCCCAAAAAGAAAGAAGAGTGATAAGCTTCTAAACCAATAATCTACACACATTGACATATATATAGAATAAGAAGATGTGGTATAATTGCCAATGAGACAACTCTCCACCAGAGACCAAATGACATAGAAGCTATCTGTACGATCTTCAACAATGAGCAAAACCCATACTGCATAGTCAGCTTTAAAGGCCCGGAAATGACAAATGTAAATCAATTCAAACGAGAAAACTAATGGCCTGATTTATATACAAAATAATGAACGAAAAACAAACATAAAATACATCAACAAACGACAACCACTGAATTATAGGATTCTGACTTGGGACAGGCACATACAGAATGTGGTGGGGTTAAACTAGTTTGAAGGCGCCAACCCTACCCTAGCCTGGGTCTGTTGTGTAACAGTACAACATAAGAACAAACTATAAAAATCAGTTGAAAAGTTCCCAATTGTTCTCATGTTTGTATACATATTTTTAGATGGTGACGTTCCCTTGTCACCATCTTATGGTGTTTATATATCTCAACTTGTTCGATTCGCTCGTGTATGTAAAAACGTATTTGATTTTAACGAAAGAAATCTCTGTATTACTGAAAAATTATTACACCAGGGTTTTCTATATCACAAACTAGTTAAAACATTTACTTAATTTTATCATCGGTACAAGGACATCATTCGTAAATATAAATCAACATGCAGTCATCTTATACTTTCAGGTATTTCACATCCAGTCTTTTACGGTAATATTCTATACAAAGCACAAATATGTCGTCATTCACCTCAAAAGTTAACCAAACCTTTAAACAGACTTATTCAAAATGGATTTAGTTACAATACTGTTGTCAGGTCATTAAAGATGGCATATTTTGGAATTAATATTGATTCACTCATTGGGTCTTTGCATCGGAAATAAACACATTTATTCTAAAACTAGTTGTTGGCATGATACGGGTTATGTTCTTCTCATATATTTTATGATGGTATGATACTAAACCTCTAACGGAAGGGATTGTGCTTGATTTTCATATGATGAAGACATAATCTTTCAATCAGTTTAATTGAGGTCTGGAGCTGGTATGTCAATAACTGCTAGTAGTCCTTTGTTAATTTATGTATCATTGTCATTTTGCTTAGTTTCTTTTGTTACCTATTCTGACATCGGACTTCTTTTGAACTGAGTTTTACTGTGGGTATTGATGTGTGTTTGTTTATTCTACATTGGCTAGAGGTATAGGGGGAGGGTTGAGAACTCATAAAACAAGTTTAACCCCGCTGCATTTTTGCGCCTGTCCCAAGTCAGGAGCCTCTTGCCTTTGTTAGTTTTGTATGTTTTTTTTTAATTTTAGTTCATTTATATGTTTAGTTTAGTGTGACGTCCATCTTCACTGAACTAGTACACATTTTGTTTAGGGGCTAGCTGAAGCCCGCCTCCGGGTGCGGGATTTTCTCGCTGTGTTGAAGACCCATTGGTGGCCTTGGGCTCTTTTCTGCTCTTTGGTAGGGTTGTCTCTTTGACACATTCCCCAATTCCATTCTCAATTTTATATACACACGTGAACTGTAAAACATTTGGTTACATCTTAATTCAGAGAATTGTTTTGAATAATAACAGTCATTACTTTTTTGTCTTGCCTTGACGGAGTCAAAAAGCGAGACATAGTTATGCTGTTTTCGGCGGCGGCGTCAACAGTGTATTAGTTTGTGATTAGGTCTAGTTTATGGTGAACCACTAGTGGTAGGTCAATGATATTTGGTATGCAGTTGTATTAGCATTAGCACATCTCATTACCATGGAGATTATTTGACCCTGCCCCCTCAGTCATGGTCTATTGACTTTGAAACTTTGCTCAGTTTACATGTATTAGTTAGTGATTAGGTAAGTTTACGGGGAACCACTAGTGGTAGGTCAATGATATTTGGTATGCAGTTGTATAAGCATTTGCATATTTCATTTCCATAGAGATTATTCGCCCCCCCCCCCCCCCTCAGTCATGCTC